CCAAAGGTAGCCTTACTAGACCAAACCACAGGCGTTGCGTGTGCGTTGACATTCTCGCTAGAACCATGGCCAATGGTAGCCTTACTAGACCAAGCCACAGGCGTTGTGTGTGTGTTGATATTCTTGCTAGAACCAGGGCCGAAGGCACCCTCGCTAGACGCAGCGACAGGCGTAACTCCAGTATTGGCACTAGACACCGGCCCAAACACGCGGACGCTAGTAACAGCTGAAGGAGTAGTCTTCGCAGCCTCGCTAGACGCAGGACTAAAGGTAGCCTTACTAGACCAAGCCACAGGCGTTGCGTGTGCGTTGATATTCTCGCTAGAAGCAGGGCCGAAGGCACCCTCGCTAGACGCAGCGACAGGCGTAACTCCAGTATTGGCACTAGATGCCGGCCCAAACACTCGGACACTAGACTCAGCCGAAGGGGTAGCCCTCACATTCTCACTAGATGTCGGACGAAACACTCCCGCACTAGATTCCGCCGCAGGCACTTTGGCACTAGAAGCAGCATCAGACACTCCCCAATCAGATCCAGCCAAAGGCGTAGCCTTGACAATCTCACTGGACATAACCACAGGCGTCCGCACCACCCAAGTACTAGACACAACATGCTCATTCACCCCAAACGCCGAAGAACTACCACCACCCCCATTGTAAGCCTGGCTGCTTACCGGAACATGTCCTGCCGGCGCAGATGCCGACGCCGACGCCGAGTCCGTCTTGCAGTTACAGGTGGTGCTTGTTTCTGTGATGAACTCGGTAATCACTTTGGGTGCGTCTGTGGGAGTCGGAGTTGGTGTGCGCTGGTTATCGTCGCTGTTGGCTTCATCCACGCGCATCATGGGGTGGCTGGCTCGCATGGGTCCATTGACAATTCTTTGGGTTGGGAGGGCCATTATGTTCTTTTAGACACATTTTTGTTAATTGCTTTGCTCTTTAGATGGGACGGGATTGTATGCGGTAGATTGAATATATCTGTATATAAGTGCATGATTGGGATTGTAATAGTATCAACGAACCTTATATTGCGGACTACTAGGACCCTGACCCTGACTCTGACCCTGAGGAACAGCCGTCACAAGTTCGGCCGCAAGAGCAGCCATGAATAGGTGTGGAGCTCGCATCTTTCGTTGCAACAGATATCAGAATTCAACAATCTCAAAAAAAGATACCCTAAGATGAGATTATAAAGAAATAAGAAACAAAGTATAGATATACTCCCTTAATCCAGGGCATATGATCTATATCAATACAGACACCAAAGAAAAGAGAGAGAGAAAAAAAAGAAAACCAAGACCAGAAATTCCACAGTAGAAATCACCTAATATATACCCCATCTCCCCCCAACTACACACAGACACATACATACATAAGCTACATAGATATTTCATTCAACAACCCCCCTCCCCCCACCAACCAACTATACGTCCAGGTCGTAGCACCTAGCAACACGCTCCCCTCTCCAGAGTAACGTACCGAACTTCACCTCTCAATGGGTCGGTAGGTATCCCTTGTCAAGGGCAAAAGGATTCGATGATGTGCGGTTCGGTATGCGTGACCTTACAGATCCCGCGGTTTTAAGATGGAAGTAGTCGTACTCCGTTAGTACGGGGTACTTTTTTTTTTCACTGGTAGTGAAACTGAGAGAATGGTTTAATGGTTCTCCCGGTTACGGTGTTACTGTTGTTACAGTATGAAACGTGTGGGTAGTGAGGGTGGTGGACATGCCGATGATGTTTGTTGGAATGTTGAGAGTTTATTTTTATTCGGGGGATCGGACTGGATTAGGGTATGGTAAGGTTATTGGCTTTGGAGTTGCTGGAGGGTTTTTTTTTTTTCCTTTCTTTTTTCCTTTTTTTTTTTTTTTTTTTTTTTTTTTTTTTTTTTTTTTTTTTTTTTTTTTTTTTTTTTTTTAAAAAAAGGGGATATCTTTCTGCTATGGTGGATTTGTTTGCTGTGCTATGGTGTTTTTGAGATGTGTTGGTACTTGTTAGAATGTTTGACTCATGTTCTGTTTAGTACGATGTATAAATTAGCTAGTCATGAGATTCTTCTTGAGTTGGTTTTTTTGGTGTTGACCTGCTGTTGTTCGTGATATTGATATGGTTAATGTGAGGGGGGGGTTCTATATCTAGCAGTTGTTCGCATTCTTCCGAAAGTTTAACGATTCAGAAATCCCGATATTTAACATGAAAGCTGTGAGAGAATTCTAAGAATGGGAGTAAACTCATTATACGATTGGACTGGACAGCGATGGAATGTGGCGCAATCTCGCCGAAGTATGTACTATCATCTTTATCTTCAGACGAGGGAGCTTTTTTCCGAATTGCCGGAGGATGATCATGATTCATTTACATGAAGTGAAGGTATGTTGTAAAGCATTACAAAAAAAGAAAAAGAAAAGAAAAATAAAAGAAGTATATATGTGTAAACAATATAAGCAATACGCCAGGCAATCAATCGTAAGCATTCTCGTCGTCCCGTCCCATTCAAATGCCATCAGACATTTACGGATAGTCTAGATCGTTAATCATTAAGCTTTCGGACTGGTGACACATCGAGTGATATTGACCAGCAACCAGGCGATTATCTTTACCATCATGGTAAGTACACGCACAAGAATATCCAGCCCCCAGAAGAGGATTCGTAAGCATCCCCGCGTCACGCCCGGGAGCTTCTGTCCTTCCCGTGAGGAGCCGTAGCCATAGCGTCCATACTTTTCTAGGTCGAATTGTTCGACCATGATTTTCTTGGTCTTTGGCTTTGCAGATCTTTGTGAGCGCCAGAATTGGAACCATTTTCTCTGGGTAGAGTCGGTGGATTGCGATCTTGCGAGTTTGATCTTCGACATAAGTTGGATGCCTTCTTGGGCATCTTCGTGCTCGGCGAAGCTTTTTATGTTGCTATCTGCAGATGTTTGCTTGGATAATGCTTCCTTGGTTGGGTCGTAGAGCTCCATGTCTCTTAGGACGGTGTTTGTAGACTCGTCCGAGACTGCAACGGCCAGCATTGCAGTGACAAGGGAGTCTATTGCATACAACGAAGGGACCGTGGCGATAATGGCAGCCGCAGAAATGGAGAGAGTCAGCGTGCCCATATCCAGTGATGCTAGGGGTTCATCACACTCGGTCAAAGGGAGGGTCGACGTCCGAGGCGTGGCGGCCATGTTGGCGCCTTCAACCGCGTTGGCCGACATAGGAGTAGTCATGAGAATAGTCGGAGGTTGTATAGAACCTAATTCTTTCGACGGTGTCGAAACAGAGATGTGGAGAAGTCCAGAATACTTTGACCTCACAGGAGACAGTGGGACACCTGCCGCACCGACAAGGGCTGGAGGTGGGAGCTTGGTCAGTGATGGATGATGCAGCTCATACAGCTGTTTGGCATTGTTCCACGAAAGTCTGCAAGATTCTTGTGCTGCAGCTCGCTTCAGAGCTTTTCCTTCTGCTTCTGCAGCTTCTGAGGGACCCAGGTGATGCTTTCTAGCTAACACTTCCGCTTCGTCAAGGGCCAGCATTGCAGCCAGACGGGAGAAGAGGATGGACACAAGTCCGTCATTTGGGGGTTCGCGGCGGCGATCTTCGAGTTTTAGCATCATGATAGGAATGCTACTATTCGGTTTGGATGGATTGGTCCTGGTGACGGATAGTTCTTTGGTTGAATAAGTCTGCATCCTATAGAATGGCGCTTGGGGGTCGCCAAACGTGTATGTTTCAGCTTCCGTCCTGATTGAGTCATTAGCACTAGTTTTCGGGAAAAGAAGATATGTATTTACTTACCGTGCCATACGCAAATTGAAGTTTCCTGCTAGGTCTTGCGGGCGCTGGCCATTGGCTGCTTCCCAGAGGCTCGTAAGTTCGGTAATCGACGAGTATTGTATCTCAACTTGGTCAAGAACACCTGCTGGAAAGTTCATTACGCTCGCGGGGACGGTCTTGGGCCCAAGGGCACGGTCAATCTCTGGCGGTGGTGTAAAGGAGAGTTCCTTGGGCCTATGTGTTCGCGTATTGGCTGAGAGTTGGGGGTAGTATTGTTGCTGGCTGAGAGACACATTCGGATTATACTGAGGGAATATGGACCTCATAGGAATGACAGGTGAGCTGGAGGCCTCGGAAGCTCTCTGGGCCAGTTGGGTAGCTATATGATTGTTGCTGCTCCCCGTCGGGGATGCCTTGCTGACTTTATATGCCGGCGAACCCCATTTATTTGCTGTGTTATTCTTGGGGCTCTGACTGAAAAGTGACTCAGGCGTCCTCAGTTCCTGTACAGTCTCTGGTATTGATACAGGCGTTGACCGAGGAGTTTTCGCTTTCTTCGCGGCCTTAATGCTCTTCGCGTCATCGACGATTTGGAAAAGCAGTGCCTCTGTCCTGACATCTTTCCCATTGAGATCATTCAGAGGGATGGGACCTATAGGTGGTGTGCGTGTAGCTCTTTGATTCTCTAGGTGGAAGGGGTTCTTTGGAGCCTTGGTGTTTGAAGGCGATGGAAAGAGTTGGAATTGACTCATTGTGTAGATCCAAAGATGATCGTCAGACGGGGGTAGATTTGACTGTTTAAAAAGTGGGGAAACTTATATAAGAACATTCGTCGATAGTATGCAATGCGCAATGACGACGCTTCAATGTTCCCCAGGATGCACAAGATTGATTAGAACACCAGTGATCTCGATACTCCAAGCCCAATGGAATGTCAAAAGAGACTTGAGAACGAAAGAGGTTCCAAACATTGAACCATGAAGGTATAGAATGCCATCTTCCGTGGGATCCAGTGCGACATATACCCCTCCCCTCGTGGAGTAGAACCCTGGCTGTAGCATAACGCCGAAAGCTAGTTAAGCTCAGCGTCAAGGATCTGAACTATGAGAGGTTCCCACTAGTGTGAAAGATGGACATTGTTATGCATAACTGCCGAATTGCCATGGCCGGCGCTTAACCTCAACCTCTCGGGTCCGCTGATAGGTTTAACCTTGAGCGCAAAGACCAGTGTGACATCAAACGCGGCGCTTCGGGGATTAAACCCTGGGACATGATTTGCGACGACCCTGTCGCTCAAGAACCATGAACAGCTAGTATTATGCTGTACGTAGTGTGAAGAAGTCGGAACAGGGGGATACGGTGTGAGCCGCCAAAAGCTGATTGGCCCTTGTATTCAACACTCCCTATGACTGGTGGTATTTCCTGAAGTTTATCGCCTGAGAGAAACAAATAGGGGTTGATTGTTTCTAGTTAATTGTGATACGGTGGCTGTGTCGTATGGAGAATAGGAGGGAAAGCGGTTAAGGTTGTGAGCAAGGATGTGATGAAGTGATCGAAGTAAACCTTGCACTATTCGCTTGTCCATTTTAGGACGAGATATGCGCCCACGCTTTTCATTTACCATGAGAAATATTATATTGCTACTTTTGTTGAAATGAAAACATCCCTGCGTGCACGTGTTTACAATCTAATTCGTCAAGACATGGTCGTTTAGTGTTGTCATTCTGAAACGTTCATCATAACGGAGTAGAGTTTCTATTCAACCTGGAAACAAAAGATCTGAGACCTCAAAAATGATAATGTCTATCAGAAGGAGTATGTGAGCCGTCTAATGGTCGCAGTCCAGAAGACCATCATCAATATCATACAAACGCCGTAATCAAGATATCTAAGAATGTGAACACCAGGGATACACATAATAAAGTACACAAATGATGCTACTTCCCAGTCAGGACAGACCGGATCCCGTCAGCAAACAACAACTTGGCATAAACAAAGTGTAACTTCTCAAGATACCCTGCCGCCGACGGGGTGTTCTTGGTCGGATTACATATGAACTGCTGCAACCTGATCTCGGTCTGGGGCGACCGAGTGACCTGAACTCGGTGACATCCCGCGAATCCAGAGCGATCCGAGCCATATCCGTAGTCGACGTAGCTAGGCTCCAGCTCTAAAGCCTTTGAGATATGCTTGTCTATCAACTTGAAGGAGCCAAATAAGCGACTGCCAAGTGGTAAGAGCTTGGTGCTTGGGATCTCTTTGTGGTTCCAGATGGGCATTGCGGCCGGGTCATCTTTAAAATCTAATACATATTTGAGTGACCAAAGTCATGTTGAGATCCAAATTATGATACAAGAGAGTTGTAGAAGAGTGCACGCTTACTTGAAAACTGGGCTGGGAATAATTTCCATCCCCCAGCTCTGAGGATCAACCTTTCGCAAGCAAAGACATATCCGCCAAAGAATCCGGTAGTAAACAAAGACAACACTTCTTCGTCGCTAAATCTTGCGATATCTGATTCTAAGAGCTTTTGTGTCACACAGTCCGTGTTGCCTACAACATTATGGCGTGGATTGACGAAGTTGAACGACGATGAGCGTAGAAATTCAGCGCTAACTGGGTAGGTTCTGTGGGATTGGTGGAGGGATCCAAAGAATGGGCCCCGAGACAGAGTGCGGAACCAATTGATCGACATGACTAGATTAGAACTGCATAGGCTAGATTTGTCGATATTTCCACAGGAGGAAATATAGGAAAAAGGCCAGAGGTCTCGTAAGTTCGGGTCGAAAGTGTTGCGATGACTCAAATGTATCGCGCTAGCGCTAAATGCCTACAACTTGGATTTGCTACCTGAACTGAAACGGGCCTTCTTTTGTATTGATTTCAAGCAATAAGTGTCACTGCTAATATATAGTATAAAACTAATATTTTCCAACGAATGATCAAACTCTGGGTATAAAATATCAAGAGCCCCACTGCCATAAAGCCCATTGAATAAAGCCCATGTTATATATTTGCTAGATTGAATTCTCACCGAGTCAATTGAGCTTGAGAATCTACCTATGTCTTGAAAAAGGCATAGTAGTACCGAAAGGCCGATTTATCGCCGTGGAGGAGGGATATAGTAGGCGGGAATATGGGCAGCTTGACCACATGGGTGGGTGACTTTGCGAGGAAGATATTCCCCTTGGGATTTGCAATCACCCAGCAATTCCCTCTTAAGAGAGTTTATAAAAGCTGCTCAGAGAAGGTAGGGTGGTGGATTGGGCCCAGCGAAATGTCAATTATGATCCAGGAATGCATGGTACTAAGGGTAATGCACAACTTTCAGGTAATAGCACCGTTGCCTTAAACCAACTAAAGTGGGTTATATGTAAATGACTGTTTATGTCGCATAGAAGTACACTGCATGTTCGAGGTCCGTATGCAAAAGATGTCTAAAATAATATACAGTTAGTTGCCATTTGGACGATCATGCTCCATGGCTTCTTCGTGGACCGAATATGTGAGCGCCTCAGCCATCGCAATGGCGCCATCCATATTCCCTTTGTTGTACAAGAATAAGCCCTGCAGGGCGGCCGCACTTGTCGCCTTCGGTTGATCGGGCTCCCGGCCGTTTTCGTCTTCTATTAATCCAAGCTCGTGTAGTCGGTCGAGGAAGATCTTTCGATACTTTCCATCTGTATCCAACTCACTATAAAATCGATCCCAGAGACATGCAACCTGGTACCGAGTGACCTCGCCCAAACGAACTGTCAAGTCCACCCGGCCAGGCCGAACCAGAGCTGGGTCTAGCCGCTCCACATGATTCGTCGTGAGAAATATCACACGTTCTTCAGCACTTGCAACTCCATCCATGGCATTCAGCAAACCCGAGAACGTAACGTTAGCACCGCGATACCCATCAGCGTCAGACTGAACCCGCCGATTGGAGAAGGCAGCATCTACGTCTTCCAGCAAAACAAGTGTCCGGTTAGGAACAATGGTGAGGAGATGATTCAACCGATCATCTGTCAATCCCCGTTCACTCAGGTTGAGAATGGCAATATCGTAGTCTAGTTCGCCTGCCAAAGCCTGGATAAAGGAGCTTTTTCCTGTGCCTGGCGGTCCGTAGAGTAGATAGCCCCGTCGGTACGGTATCCCACGATCATGGTACCATTTTCCGCTAGAAAGAAAGTCTTTAACATCGTCCACAATCCGTTCCTTGACACCCTCGTCAAGAATGACTGATTCCAAAGGACGCTTCCGTCGCGGTTGTCCAAACAGCTTCCATTCAGTACCCCAGCTGTTGTAGATTGATGTCTTGCCTTCATGTGATTTAGCCGCATATGCGTGAGCCTCTCTGAAGAGATCTTCAAAAACATGGCGATGCGAATAGAGAGTGGTCAGGGTAATCGTCTCCCACGGGCGACCAGTCTGAAGGTCCAGTGACTTCGACTCGCGCATCCGATTTACAAAGATAAACGCATTCTTGTAACGCAAGACATGTCTCCCTGGACCGGGAACTAACGAAAAGTGTGTATGTATCGCACCGTTTGAGTGTTCGACTTTTTGCGTTTGGATCGAGAGGTGGCGCATCCCGGGGGTCATTTTCTGGAGTAAGGATTCCATGAAGCCAGACCTGCTGGCTGCCGACTGAGCTGAATTGAGCTGCGAACGTTGATATAGCGTCATCCAATGAAGAAACCAGGGATATGAATCATCCTTTACGCTGATTTCCACATCCACGAGCATGCGCCTTCGCAAGAGTGCAGCGCCATGTCGAATCCCTTTTTGAGCAAAACTTAATCCAGCACCCAAACCGGCGAGACCGAAGCCCTAATCGTCCCAAAACTCATTAGACCAACCGTTCCTTGAATACGTATCACAATGTGGTCCAAACCGCCTTACCGCTGTGAAGAAAGGATTGCTAGATAGCTGGGCGAAAAGCCCACCATCTCCGGTGGGCTGCGCGGCCGCCTGGATAGCATCTTTCTTCTGCTGCAGGATTAAATCGCCAGGCGAAGGCAGCCCCTGTGTACTTGGTGGTCCATTCGGATCCATGCCAACCGAGGGAAAATTAATTACTTGAACTGGCAGTCAATCGAACACTTTCTTCGGGCAATCAAGTGATTGTTCCGAATGGTATCGGAGACCCGGAACCACAACGGGCCGATTATTCAACCCCCATTAGGCAAAGTCTCGGCTTCAGACCATACTGTAAAGCGGAGATATCGGACTTAATGGAAACATCGCTGTTAGTGTTGAGGCTTAGAGGTTTGATTATATGTTCATAGGGACCAGTAAAAGTTGAGGCAGTGGACTACATTAGGCTAGGTAAGCACTTAGCTGTCAATCATTAGGTAGCTACAAAGTTACGTAGTCTCCTATCTTGTTAGCGTATAACTTTTAGCCTTGCAGATACAACTGATTACTGACGGCATTCAGAATACTACATTTCGTCGCAGATCGCTACCGGTTCCGCTAGCAGAGCTAAGTTAAATACACTTTATATTTGAAAAGAGACCCCGGAAGCCCTGATCAACCGTCATGCGACACTTCTTTCGGCGAATCTTTGGATTCCATCAGCATTCTTCTCACAGCTCAGCCCAGAGACGCACCATGAGCTCCTCTACCGTGGCAGTTCTTTACGCTCTCACCCTGTCGGTACCATCAACTTCAACAGGCCCTGAGGACGCCAAAGAGAAGAAACACCATGTCTCAGGGGGTTTCACAAATCCGTGGGAGTAAGCATTGCAGGACGATGCTCGTTGTAAGCTTCCACACGCTAATCGATGATATAGTTCCTACAAGACCCCCGCTGTTCAGCGCTTTTTTCTGTGAGTACTACGTAAAACTGGTACTGGGGGGCTATATCTAACCTAACGTGTGCTTGTTTTCTTAAGGCGACAAATAAATGGCAAAGCAAACCGTCCTGACACCACGCCTCCAACCGTGCCTGTCCAAAAACCAGAGTTCTTGCCTAGTAGAGAAACTCCTAGGTTGCGTGCGACGTGGCTGGGTCATGCCTGTTATTATGTCGAATACCCCAGCGGTCTTCGAGTACTGTTTGACCCCGTGTTCGAGGACCGTTGCTCACCAATTTCTTGGCTGGGCCCCAAGCGTTACACTGAAATGCCGTGTCAAATCAAGGACATACCCATTATCGACGCTGTGGTGATTTCTCATAATCACTATGACCATCTATCTTACCCAACTGTTAAAGAGATTTCTGAGCGACACCCTAATTGCCATTTCTTTGTCCCGTTGGGCAATGAGGAGTGGTTCAAAAGCTCTGGAATCAACAATGTGACTGAATTAGACTGGTGGGATGAACGTGACATCGTTCTCTCGCCGTCCCAATCGACTGGCACCCAAGTCAAGGAGTCAGCTGGGAGTGGCAGTTCTAGCCCAGGAGATATAAAAGGGCGAGTTGGATGTCTACCATGCCAACATACTAGCAACAGAGGCGTATTCGACCGAGCAAAGACATTGTGGGCTTCCTGGTATATTGAATCTGGCGGACGCAAGGTCTATTTTGCTGGGTATGTATGCAGACGGTTACTTGGAAGCACTTAGATTTTGCTGCTAACCTATGATGCGATTGCAGAGATACCGGCTACAGAAGTGTGCCAGAGCTTCCTAACGGTGCTGATGACCACGCACCGGAATACGATTTTCCAGTATGCCCTGCTTTCAAGCAGACGGGCGAGTTTCGTGGACCGTTCGACCTGGGATTGATACCGATTGGAGCCTACGGTCCTCGCTTCGTTTGGAGCCCTGTACATGCTGATCCTCATGATGCAGTCCAGATATTCCAGGATACCAAGTGCAAAAAGGCCATGGGTATGCACTGGGGCACTTGGGTATTAACAGAGGAAGATGTCCTTGAGCCCCCTAGAAAGTTGAGAGAGGCATTGAGAAAACATGAAATTCCTGAGGATGGGGTTTTCGATATTTGTGACATTGGAGAAAGTCGAGAGTTTTGATCTGAGGGTCTACTGAAACACTGGTGAATCTGGGTCTGAAACGGCATGGAAAATTGCGGGAAATATAAGTGATCTATATATAGCACTGTTCCATGTACAAGGTATTTGACTAAAGCTTCAATGATGGAGATTCCTTTTATAAATTCATTGAACTGGTCGGCGCATACTGATAGACTGTAAGCGCTGGCCTAAAAGTTCTAATTATGGAGTAGAGTGAGTGAATTGGCGCGGCGCTACTGATAGAACCTGGTGCATCTTAAATATGAGAGACTAAGTCGCAAAGTGAGCAGGTTGCTTGCATGGACAACACAATTTGATTTGTTTTTCTTACTATGGACGCACTTCTCCTATGACCCCTGCTGATGAGCGCGTGATGTTGCATGATTGACAGCCTGCATAAAACAAGAAAGTTACCCGGTATATTGACAGGGCTGGACTTAGTAAGTGATGCAGGCAATTAACATAACAATATAAGAAGAAAAAAGAAAAAAAAAAAAAGCATGGAAACAGGAAGCCTAACGTTGCACATCTGTATCAGGTCATTAGCCTTGAGCAAACGCGTTGCGCTGCGCAACCCACAACAAACACAGGCTAAACTCAGGCCACAGCTCCTCGAGATCTATAATCACATTCAATAACGCATGCGCTTGAAACCTGGTGTCTCTAGGGCAGTAAATTTATTATTGAGATAATACAATAATACACATCAGGATGTCAAGCTATTTCGATCCGACAGCATTCATTCCGGATCCCTCTTCATTTTATCATGAGAGAAGCTCATGGGAAATGAACCGATATAGGGGCCCAGAGGATGGTTACGTTACGGAGAGCGAAGAAGAGGTCCTTTACAGTTTGGACGAAGTAGCTATGGCCGCGCTACCGCTCCGTTTGCAAGAAAACATGCGCGAGTTACATCTTGAACGCGTGCAAAGATTAAAGAGAGAGAAAAGCAACACTCCATCCTACAAGACATACCATGCAACATCGCCGGTGATTTGGTACAAAGATTCTATAGCCACTATGGAAGCAAACCAGGACAGGGAGAAGAGTGGTCGCGGAGGTTTGCCAAGTTCAAGCTCGGAGCAAGCTGATTGGTATCTGTGGCAGAGCATGCGTGAGATGGATGATATAAGGAATATGGAGCGTGACACTATGGCGGTGGCAGGTCCTTATTCCCACAGCTCGAGTGCGCACCTCAATCTGGGCAACAATCTGTTCTCGAAGCATTCAACATCAACGGAAGAGGATATTGAAGCCGGATATGCTGGCAACCGACAGTCTCGCAGCAAATACATATCACATCTGACAGGCACAAAAGCCCGCGCATGTGTAGTTCACGCAGTCGAACACATCGAAGCGCCTCATGAAGGCCCATATGTGCATGGGCGGTTTCGCCAGAGAGGCTCGTCAATGATCTCCGCTATGCGTGGCCGCGTACGAAAGAGTATCCACAGAATGAGCAAGGCGTTCAAGAAACAGTCTAGTTTCCAAGGTCATAATCGAGCATGCGAAACCTTTGTTTCGAGTTGATACATGGCAGAGCCATACTCAACAAGACTGTTACGGAGATAACGATGATCACCAGAGTTATGACAGGAGATAGTTACGGGATGGCTGGACACATCCCCAGGGAGCAATGATGTGGATGTCACGTAAACAAGCAAGCAAGTGCAGATATTTCAGGTCGTCTAGGCTGTTGTACGAGTAGTACATACAATAAAAGTGTTTGGATTTGATAGGAGTGGATTTAATCAGGAGAAAGGTAGACTAAGCCTGAAGGGGATTAGTGGGGGTGAGCTTCCAATCCGCAATCCCACTTCGAGGTTCGCTGGAAATTTGATGGTGAAGGCGGGCACAGCACTCCAGATCCCCCTAGCGAACGCGCCCCTCATTTATCTTATTCTTCAGTTAATTTTGAAGAACTCTTCCAGTAATTTTTAGGAATACCCACTCTACTTTTTCCTTCCCCGCAGCACGTTAAGACCACCGCCAAAATGCAGGCACCGGTGGTGGTAATGAGTATGTTGTCAACGGAATTCACGTTGGCTTTGATTTCATATGGCTAACAATCATAGACACCAACTCTGGTGAGCGACAGGTCGGTCGCAAGGCCCAACTTTCGAATATCACTGCCGCAAAGACGTACGTGACAATACTCTTTCTGGCCACTTCCGCTCTAACATAAAACTACTCGCAGTGTTGCGGACATCATTCGGTCATGTCTTGGACCTAAGGCCATGCTGAAGATGCTGCTCGATCCTATGGGCGGTATCGTCTTGACTAACGATGGACATGCTATTTTGAGGGAAATCGAAGTGTCGCACCCGGCGGCAAAGAGCATGATTGAGCTCAGTCGTACTCAGGATGAGGAGGTCGGAGATGGAACCACGACCGTTATCATTCTAGGTATCATCGCACACTCCCCCAATTTGTTATTATGTTGGAAATGCTAATACATGGCAGCCGGTGAGATGCTCGCTCAGGCCCTCCCTCAGCTCGAACGTAACATTCACCCCGTCGTCATTATCTCTGCCTTCAAGCGTGCCTTAGCGGACGCCCTTGCCATCGTGGAAGAGGTCTCAATCCCTGTTGATATCGACGATGATAAAGCGATGTACACTCTCATCCAATCGTCCATCGGGACGAAGTTTGTTTCCAGATGGTCCGAGCTGATGTGCAGCCTGGCCCTGAAGGCTGTGCGAACCGTTTCCTTCGATGCCGGTGGTGGAAAGCGGGAGGTTGACATTAAGCGATATGCTCGTATTGAGAAGATTCCTGGTGGTCAGATCGAAGACAGTGAGGTTATCGACGGTGTGATGGTGAACAAGGACATTACCCACCCTAAGATGCGGAGAAGAATTGAGAACCCTCGAGTCGTCTTGCTTGACTGCCCATTGGAATACAAGAAGGGTGAATCTCAGACCAACATCGAGATTACGAAGGAAGATGACTGGAACAGGATCCTAGAAATTGAGGAGGAACAGGTTAAGCGCATGTGCGATGCCATCTTGGCTGTCAAGCCTGACGTTGTCATCACGGAGAAGGGTGTTTCGGGTAAGAAACCTCTGCTCCAGGTTGCGGCATGATTCATTACTGACCAATCGTCCAGACCTCGCACAGCACTTCTTGATGAAGGCCAACATCACAGCTCTCCGCCGAGTGAGGAAGACCGATAACAACCGTATTGCTCGTGCCACTGGTGCGACAATCGTGAACCGGGTCGATGACCTCCAGGAGTCTGACGTAGGAACGACTTGTGGATTGTTCGAGATCGAGAAGATTGGCGATGAATATTTCACTTTCCTCAGAAAATGCCAGAACCCCAAGGCTTGCACCATCCTTCTACGTGGTCCGTCCAAGGACATTATCAACGAGGTTGAGCGCAACCTTCAGGATGCTATGGCCGTCGCTCGGAATGTCATCTTCCACCCACGACTGTCCCCTGGCGGTGGTGCTATCGAGATGGCAGTTTCTGTCAAGCTGGGCCAATTGGCCAAGTCTATTGAGGGCGTTCAACAATGGCCTTACAAGGCTGTCGCTGATGCTATGGAGGTTATTCCCCGGACGTTGGCTCAAAATGCAGGAGCCAGCCCTATTCGTGTCTTGACTCGCATGAGGGCCAAGCATGCCGAAGGCCACACCACATGGGGTCTCGATGGTGACTCGGGTGCCCTGGTTGATATGAAGGAATATGGCGTTTGGGAACCTGAAGCAGTGAAACTCCAGAGCATCAAGACTGCTGTCGAGGTAAGTAGTATAAGTTCTCGTCGTGTTGCTGATACAGTTGCTAACCTGGTTAGTCCGCATGCCTACTTCTCCGTGTTGATGATATTTGCAGCGGCAAATCTGCACAGCAGGTGGGTGCTAACCTTGGTGGTGGCGATGAATAAGGCTAGTAGCTGGTTTAAAAATGCGTACATAATGCTGCACGATTACCTCTTGATATTGTACGAATATCCTAGACTAAAAATTACACGGGTATCTATAAATCGTACACTTGAAAGTGACAGCGACCTGGTAATATCCTGACTACAGTTTCAATTGCAACCGTAATCTCAATCTTCGTGAATTATCACGCCTGGTGTTTCCGCATGTTCGACGGCATCTGCTGGCCAATTTTGACCTTCATCCTTATTCCCGTCGAGTGTCCCTTTCGTCGGCCCATCAACCGCCATGTTGTCTGGCCCCTTACCATTGCTACCGGTACCTTTCTTTTTATTCTTTGCCGCGTTCCTCTTTTCCCTTCTTTTCCGGTTCTTTTCCGTCTTTTCTTCGTCCTTCCGCCTTGCCTCTTCTCGTTGTTTCTCCCAATCTTTATCTTCCTTCTCCTTACTGACCTCGCTTTCCATCATGCGTAGGCGTTCGTATTCCCTCCTGCGGCTGGCCTTATAAACGTGGAATTCTCCGGAACCGGCACCGGCAGAAGAACCTTGGACATTCGCCACGATTTCCGGCGGAGGAGGCAATGTCCCTGATGATCGTTGCTTGGAAGAATCGGGGAGCTTAATCTCCTTCGCGGGGTCGCGAAAGAGAGTCTGAATCTGGGAAGCTTGCTCCGACTGCGCTGTGACAGCACGACGTTTCACTGGCCGCTTGCTACGCGGATCTGCGCTCGTAGGGATCGATTCCGGGCCTGGTTCGGACATTTTTGAGGCTTTGCGTTTGCCTTAAGCGGGTAACTATGAAGTAATCCTGCGACGATCTACGCAATGTGTGGACTGGCAGGCACAAGATCTGACGTGATTCAGTCGTTGGATTTTGTTTGTTTGCGCAACTCGAAATAGTGAGGTAGTAAGTTGGGAAATTTTTGATTTAATCGGCGCAAATTTTATGACGTTTGTTTTTGTTTTAACACCCGGGCCAATCACGAGCAGACGGAGTTGTCTAGAAGCTCAGGCTGGAGAAAGGTTGATGCTCAGCTCCTCGGATAAACTTACTGAGTTAAATTTAAATCAATCTAGAGCGGTGAAGGCGTGGGGTGTTTATCTTTTACTGTATCATTTAGCTTCTTGGTTGTTCCATGTATGACAATGGGATCTTTTCGGGTTAGCCTGGCTTACTGTTGTCACTCCGATTATAGCCTTAGAGTAAAGGACAAAATAAGTGAAGGAATTGAAATGGGGTAGTAAGACGGTTCTGTCACAGCCTCAGTATCGCATGTGACCCACTGCCTTAGGTGACTTGTCTAGACTCTATATCCATACACTAATCACTCTTCTTCTACAATTCGTTCCTTTTCCTAGTTCATTTCATACTCAAGCGTCTCTTGCTCCCTAGTATCAGGGATGCTTCACCCTCTTTCGGGTACTATTAGTACGACTATACTCATCTAACGGCGTCACCATCTACACACCCACCCCGCGTCTTATCGCACGATGGACGGACTTACTAACGAACAAACTAGGATAAGGGATAAGAAGGATACGAAGGTTGTTAGCATCAGAATTATGATTACACTGCACGATTCTTCGGCAAGTAACTGATATATTATCTACAGTTTGACGTCGACGATGCATGCTGTTTAAAGTCCAATCCTGCTTTGGTGGGACATGTCTGCGTAAGTAACGCCGCTTAATACATATCGGTTTATTTTGGCTAAATGCTCATCCACAGAGAATTGACCATGATGTATGTTCTCCCTCTCTCTCGCCTTTCTCTGGTGGCTGAGACGACTGGAGCAGTTGCTGAATTGACTGTCCAAGGCTGATGACGATGAACCCCTGAGCCTGAATGAATGCTTAATTCTGTCTTATACCCCCGTTCCACAGAAGGACTTGGAGCAATTCCTGGAAACTGGAGTAGTATGTAACTACAACCCGACAGTCGACTCTCTTACTGAAAATTAATTCTCGTGTTAGCCTCCCAAGGGGTATGCTTTTGTTAGCTTCACAGAGCCCTCACAGGGAAACTCGCTCATACATGAGAACGACCTTGAACTACTCGACCGCACTTTCGATCTTGGCGACACTGTCAAGCGGCACCCAGATGATACGATCAGTGGTACGGTTATCAGTACTTCTGCAACATGTAGCCTTGAGCCTATCGCTTATCGAGCACTCGACCCCGAGACTGGAGAGTATGGCTCTCTGAACTTCAGCGAAAAGGTCATCAAGCGTGAAGGCAGCCTAGCAACTGAGAACGATGCCACAGAACCTCCGCTTCTGCACGGCATCCCAGCAGTAGAACTAAAGAAATACGAAGAATTTTCCGAAGGCGATTATATCGTCTACCGGCAGAAGCTCGGAATAATCCATGCTATTGATCGTGATGCAATACTACTCCTCCCAAATCAAAGTGTGGTATCTCCCCTCGATCCGAGTGCCCTGGAGGTTCCGTTTTCATTCGGAGCCGAAAGTCTCGTCACATTACCCAGCAACATGAGTGCTACGCGACATTACTCCTCGGTCAATGGTGGAACGATTTGGTCCACGGAATCAAGTTTCTTGTTTCCTGGTCAATTTTCCTTTACGTCCAGGAACAATCTGAGCAGAGGCGACTTGTTTTCTAGTGCAGCCTCAATATCACAGCCAGAGGGCTATATCCTAGCCACGCCAGCCATGGATATTCAAGTCGACTGGCTCTGTCCAAATGTTTTTGCCGTAGGCACATCCCATAGTGGCGCAAACATCGAGGTACTAAGAGCATCTACTCTCCGCGGAAACGCAATGGTATGCGATTTCGGGCAAGTTTCCCGGGGAAACCCCGATAAAAAGCCTGTTCATTCAGATTCCTGGCTTAATATCGGGGACAGGGTGCGTTTCCGGGATTCAATATCTGCAGCTGCAAAATATCCAGCATATCAGCATCTGCCCGCTGACCAAACTTTTGGCCAAGATATAAACATCCTCCGCGTTACTTCCATAAAAACTGAGATCACTATTCAGTGGCAAGATGGGACTATCACCACCGAAGCAGCCACTTCTCTGCACAAATTCCTTGGCTTTGAGGATGAAGTCTGGCCTGGAAATTTAGTTGTCTTGAAAGATGGTATTGAGACTATCCGGGAACCCTGCAAGAACAATACGGGGCCCCTCGGGCGCCATATGAGGGAAACATTGCATGTTAGGAGAGTCGGGGTTGTTCAAAATGTGGACAGCCGGGAAAGGATAGCATCGGTCCGCTGGTATAAGGATCCAGATGTCAAAATGACACATCGGGGAAACATGTTAGTGCCTGGATCCTTCCTAGGTGAACTTAGTGATGCCGTTACAGAAGTCTCCATCTATGAGCTTTACCCATATCCTAGCATACAAAGGACACTAAATGACCTAGTACTTCTGGCACCCGGGATAATTCACCGATCATCAATCCCGGCAATTGACAATGAGCCGACTAGAGCCGCTGGCCCTTGTCGGCTGAGCTCGCTGTCCCCTGTCTCCTTCTCTCAGACGCTTTCATACCTTGAGTCCATGAAGTTATCCATGGTGAACTCTGAGTGGTTCAAAGGGACTACTGAGATCGACACGTCACCTGTCCCTTCCAAATACAGCGTACATCACGAAGAATTCAACATCAAATCACCAACGAACTTCATTGGCAAAATCATTTCGATAGATACTGAGGGCACCATCACCATTCGTACTGTAGGCGCCGACAATGTTCGTGATATTCGCGTGCCATGGGAGAGAATCATGATGATAATTGATGAGGATAACATAATTCCGCCTGTGCCACTCCCGCCATTCGAACTGCTTAGCCTCGCGGATATCGATCGTTTCGTACAACCAGACGACCTCCCATTCACTGAGACAATTGAATATGAGGGCGGCGAGCGTCTTGATAATGATAGTGGGGATGATGACTGGGCAACTGAAGGCGAATCCGAGCTTGACGATGAGGACTTTGAGGACGTGGAAAACGATAGCGATGATAGCGATGGGCTCACGGCCCCCGCCTTGTCAATTATCAATCCTCCTGAGAGGCTTGACCATGATGAGCGGGAGCAGCCTGGTACTGATGAGACAGGGGCTGAAAATAGATCACCTATACTCTCATTAGCCCTGCCATCGTCATGTCCTCCAGGTTTCTCTATGTTAGAAAGCTCGCCCCCTTCTGACCACCATTTCTTTTCTACGGTTCCAAGTGAAGCTCCTGGATTGCGTATCAAGCGTATACAAAAAGAATTTGAAATCCTTCAGTCATCCTTACCAACTGGAATTTTCGTGCGGACTTGGGAGTCTAGGATGGACCTATTACGGGTTCTGATAATCGGGCCTCAAGGAACACCATATGAGCATGCGCCGTTCGTGATTGACTTTTATTTCCCTGATGAGTTTCCTACTCGTCCTCCAGCAGCCTATTTCCACTCGTGGACTGACAGAAATGGGATGATCAATCCGAACCTGGGAGAAAATGGAAATATCTGCTTAAGTCTCCTAGGAACTTGGCCTGGGAAGAATCCCACGGAGAGTTGGTCTCCCACCAACTCGACGGTCTTGCAGATATTGGTTTCAATCATGGGTCTCGTGTTGGTAAAAATGCCATTCTACAGTACGTATCACCCTTCGCCGGAGGGCTTGCACGAGTACTAACCTGACCAAGATGAGGCTGGCTACGAAACACTTGCTGCGGAAGAATACCGGCGCGTCGAGTCGACCCAATACACGGAGAAAGCCTTCCTGATAACTCGAACATTTATTAAACATGCCCTTGCAAACCCTATCGCTGGCTTAGAAGATGTTCTAGCCTGGCATTATTTCACAGACCCCCAGCAGACCCACAACGATACTTGCATCCGCCCACAACTGCTGCGCCGGGCTATTGACGAAGCTCTTAACATGATTGAGCATCACAACCGCACACCGGCAGGTGTGAAGTTGAGTGAGGAGCACGCGGCATCTGCCTTCGTGTCTCGTCTCAGCCTGGGGGCAGTTGTAATGTTACGAAAGCATGTCACTACACTGGAGAAGATTGAATTAGCTGCGAACTCTCTTGAGAGAGTCTAAGCTTCTTTGATCCCCAGTCTATCTGATCTGTGCTGTTTTAGGGTCGTAAGTATCAGTATTAGCTGGTCTCTCGCATTCTTATCAACACCGTAGCTGTCGCTTGAACTTTGGGTAGGAGATAGGAAACGAAATGAACGTTACTGGGATATGACTGGTATTCTAATTCCATGTGCCGTTAACAATAAATTTTATGGGTATTACAGGGCAATTCGTATGATTTCCAAAGCATGTATGTTTTACTCGAGAGCATAGGAACGAGCAGCCTACTGTATACTACTAGCAGCCATAAATCGAATTAACAGGCAGAAATGGCCCAAAACCAGAAAATAAAAAGTAAGCACGCTGTGATTAATTGATCACAAAGACGATAAGCCTGACAAAGGTAAACTAAGGAGAATTAAATAATAAATAACAGGAGAATAAACAGAATTTGGCCTGAGACAAATGTAGACAGAGCTGCGGGTTTGGTCGGTGGCGTGTTCCGTTGCTCTCTCTTTCGTCGGTTTCTTCTCTCCTCCCTTCATCCTCCATCTCTTTCCCTCTTGCGAATCTTCTTCCTCCTGCTTCTCTTCTGTTTCTACGATAAGCTAATTGGCCTCAATATCACTATTAGTTATCTATCTAAAATCTGGCATCCTTGAATAATATTGCGACTTTTTAGCGCTTCTTTCGCACTGCAGGTCAAAAAAAAAAAACAGCCGCGTCGCTAGTTTTTAACATGCCATCTTATCGCTTGGGTGAGTGACTTTTCAAATTGTCTGTCTTGTATTCGGGCAAAGAGCTCGCTGGTATATCACTATCATTACTGCGAGCATGCGATAGAGCCTATTCAGTGTGATCTTGGATCTGTTTGCTGTCGTCCCTGGGTCGCGGTTGTGTTCCCAGCCATGTCAAACAGCCGCTGGGTGCCTACTTGCAACAAGGCAGATGTCGCACAGTTCCTTCTTTTTTATCTTTTCTTTTTTTCTATCCGTATCCCTCTCTATCATTCTCGTTCTTTGTTCCTCGACCTTTATTGCTACATCTATACATTCATTACATATAGATGCTGCTTTGCTCTGTTTATTTCCATACATAGAGCGTTATCCTAACCTTGAAACAGAGCAAGCCTCCACCGGCAGAGCTGGCTGTCAAAACAAAGAATGCAAAGACGAGAAGGTCAAGATCGCCAAAGGCGAGCTCCGGCTCGGCACCTGGGTTGACACCGAGCGCATCCAGGCATTTCTCTGGAGACACTGGTGAGCTCCCACTTAGCTGAATGGACCTATCAGAATTGCCAGACTGACGCCTGTAAAAGGGGCTGTGTAACGCCCAGAATCATTGCTAGTCTCAATGAAACTCTTGGGGAAGATGACGAGAAGGATTACGAACAGCTAGATGGCTTCGAAGATCTTACTCCCGAAAATCAGGAGAAGGTCAAGAAGGCGCTGGAACAGGGCCATGTTGATGACAAGGAATGGAAGGGGGTATGCAAATCCTTTTCTTATGTCCCCTTCCGATTGTTATTTTCTAGACTCGGTGCTGCGTTCTCAATTCCAAGTGCTAACAGATATAGGATGTTGAAATGAACCGTCCCGGTAAGAATGGCTTCCGCAAGCGTGGATCAAAGAAGAAGGCGGCTGCCGCTGAGGTTTGTCTCACCATCGTTACCATGTAACCCATATGCAAGCTTTCTAAACCAAGTATACAGGAGAGCGAAGCTGAAGAAAAGTCTCCTGAGCCAAAGACCAAGAAGCGTAGTCGTCAGTCAATCAAAGAGGAGGCTGAAGACCAGGCTGAAGAGGCACCGGAAACCAAGAAGCCCAAGAAAGGAGCACGTGGAAAGCGAGCCTCCGAAGCCGACAAGGCGACAAAGGAAGAAGCAGACGACAATGCGGCAACTCCTGTAAAACCTAGGGCAACTAGGAAGGGCCGTGCCTCGAAGAATGACACCGAGGACAAAGAGTCCCCGGAAGCTCCTGCTAAAGCTGCTAAGCCCGCTGTTAAGCCTGCTGCAAAGCGACAGCGGAAGTCTGCTGCGAAAGACGATGAAGCGGAGACTGTTGAAGAAGAGCCTGCTGAGGAAAAGCCTGCTGAAGAAAAGCCTGCTGAAGAAAAGCCCAAGCGAGGCCGGAGGAAGAAGACTGCTTAATAGCACCCTATCGCAAACGGAAGCTCTCAGTCTTAATTATATGCATGGTGTCTTAATGGTCTGTGAGGCTTTTCGTTCCGTTTCGTTTGTTGGTTTCTAGTGTCGCTCCGTGTTGTTATGCGAGTATGTTGAAGTTTTGTGTGTGGGCAAGCGAGCAAGCGTCTCCGTTGTATGTCAACTTTACCTGTCCGAGGCAAAAGAATTATGCCGATAACTATATGGTGTATTAATAGGAAATCTTAATAGGTGCTTTAATGATACAGCCACCTAATTCTGTATAACAAAGTCCAGAACCTTGTAAGATGAGGCAGCCTAATCTCTCAATTCCTAACGTAGATCATTCTACTTTCCGACATCAACCATGCATCCTAGATACTAAACAAACTGGGACAGACAAAGTCGCGTATTTCAAGAGAGGCATGATTAAAATCAAAGGCTTGCAAAAGCACTATAAAGACTCAGCTCAAGGAGTGGCGCCGAAACGAACAAGTCATGCCTCAAAAAGTTCATTAAAACGAGATATTGATATGGTCCCTAAAACCATATCGAATGATACGGTAGGCCAACCTCTGAGAAGTGAAGAAACCAGCATGAGTCAAGGAATGAAACCGATTGATCTGAGCTCAAGCAGTCTCGTTCGGCTCTTTAACAAGAAGATCGGACTTTTTTTAAATGATTTTCCGTACATATTGTCGTGCTTGCTGTGCAATCATTGGGTCATCTTAGGTGATTCATCGTTACTGTGAGATAGTGTAAGCACATACTTTATGTTCAAAGTAAGCAGTAAATTGAAGAAGACCAACCCAATCTCCTCAAGATCATCCATGTGATTACACATAGCAACGAACAGATCGAAAAAGAACTTATGACCCATCTCCATCTCATACTGCATGGTTCCACTGGTCTTGAAAATCTGTCGGGTCCGAATGATCATAGCCAAGTAATGAGAGCGCAGTCGATACTCCGAGTCTGGCGTGTTGTCGTAAGCATACCGAGCGGATCTTAAAATCACATCGATGGGGATTCCGCTCTGAAGTCCCTGCTTGCGTATAGCAAGGCTTTTGAGCCCCTCCAGTCCATACTTCTCGGCTGCGCAGTACACAACTGTGTCCCTGAGGACGATGTCGCCTACAGCGGAGTGAAACATAGTCGCTTCGCTCGACCCGCGGCCACCGGGGTGGGTGGTGACATTCTGGCTATTCTCGAGTTCCCATGAATTGGTGTCCTTGTTACGGAGCAGGCGCGGGAAATAATCCCCCTTGTACAAGAATTCGAGAACGCAGGATAAAACTTCTGGCTCTCTGGGATATGTTAGGGACATGTCCTTGTATTGGTATTGTTGCTATTCTTGATTTGAGGACATACTCATCTGGCAGAGCCACTGCCTTATTCGTGCTGTCCCCGACGAACCCGTCTTGGAGTAGAGACCGGAATAAAGGTGAGCGGCATAGTATTTCCTCATGAGCTACGAAGACACGTTGTTCGTGACTCACGATCATGGTGACTATAGGGCTCGTGAGGGGACTATAGAAACCATCCAAGATTAGCTTAAAGTCTTGTGCTAGAGCTCAAGTAGGCATTCTACAACAGAGAACAGGGATTTTGAAAACAAGGAATTATATTAGTTACTCACGTAGCCGGTGACTGACTTTCCACCTTCTCTTGCATTTTCTTCGCCTTCACATGCCTACCGTGTGTCTTCCTTGGTGACCTTCTAGACTTCCCGATCCGATCGCTTCGAGTGAACGAGCGATTGGCGGTTTTCAGCCTATCGTCCATGCCCATGAACTTGGCCAGGAACGACACTAGAGACATCCAGACGTAGAGACAAAAGATTGACAGAAGAAGCCAAATAAAAGGAAAGAATCAAACGAGCTGGTTGATATAAACGAATGACGCTACCGACTCACGCACATTGCATGAAACAGAGAGTCCTGGAAGCCTTCCCAAAACAAGACCCTACCCCGTAATCGCAAGCCTTCATTAATAAAAATGAAAGCTTACAGACCGTTGAGAAGCTGCAGGATTCCTGGGAGCTGGCTTTCGCCTACATAAATCCACCTAGGCGGAGTAGATTCACGTAGCGAGACTTGGTCGACCCTGGGGAGCGCGAGAGAGGAAAGAAGAGAACTGGGATGGAGCTGGCAGAGAGTGTCTTATATAGATGCGGGGAATGAATCATGTGATGGTGAGATCGATGATCAGCCACATGACGGCGTAGATCATGGTTTCTTGTAGATGATTCAGTTCCTATATAGTTTATTCCAGATTGTACGAAATAATGTATGGATAAGTTTTACTTCAGCATACCCTAATCATAGATTAGTTCTCTATGTGCAAACATAATTATCTTCATGGATCATAATCACCATGAATATTCACTCTCTATTCCCTGCATCATTAAAAGGGTCATCTTCACCACAGGTGATCAATATCTATTTCCAAACTATTAGGATGTAGTAGAGCTGCATAGGTCTCCATTTTCAGGGTTAATTATATTTTGATTTGTGTCGACCTGGAAAACTCTACTCATTGTACTAGCAATCGATATTTTTGAGGTCCATACAACACCAAAGAATGACATATACCAAGTTCTTCTTCGGCGGTGACAACCAGTACTGGTAGATGTCTATATTCACAGGCAAAATACTTTTAGTACAGCAACAAACACAACATTCACCAACGCACTGATTATCATAATCAGAACGTTAACAATAGCGAGATTAGAGACAGGACGACGGGTTTTGCCGCTCCCAGAGACCCCAGCGCATAAGCGTTCACTTACTCTTTCTTATCAAAGCCTTGCCCTTTCATACAATCAAGGTGAGTAAGAAATAAACGCTCTCATTATTCATATTGAGTCTGTTCTTTTTCGGACCCCTATATCTTTCGTTGCTAAGTATCAATGTTTATATCATCCGCTAATCTTAGGTAAAAACAGACATAGGGTACTATGGTAAACTGGACATTAGCAGGGATTACTATCCAGGGAGATGTACTCATTACATCCGTGATAATACATACACTTCTCACGCTGCTTAAACTGTATGGATTATATGTGCTGGGTGTGCTGGCCGATTTTGCTGCAAATTTCCAAGCAGATGAACTGGAGGAGTGGTTGGAAAATGCTAGGGCTCGAAGGGACAATGCCTACGCATACAGCAGTCTTACAGACAGTGATTTGGCAGACACTGATATCACCGATAGTGATTACACTGACAGTGACTGAAAAGTTGGCATGATCCATGGAAGTGGTACTATGGGTAGTGGTCTGGTTTGATTCATGGGTAATTGTTTCTCAGAGGTGGTTTTACGGACCGTGATTGAGAGGTTGGATTGATTCATACAACGTACCTGATGGCCAGACTACCTTGCTTTATCTCTGCTTTTCAGTATCTGCGAACAGTGTCATCCCTGGTCAGAATCAAGCAAGCCACATAGTGAAATCTCTCGCTATCCCCAATCGTGGTATCATTTCCAAGCTCAGGGGGTAAATGCCGACATTCTCTGCATAATACTCTTCTCTTTCCTTCATTAGTTTCATACTCTTCCAACAATGACTATGATCTTTAATATCGCTACAAAATGTCACCATCTTATCGCGCAATATTGCGAAAGCAATTTCAACATCTTTCTAGCCACCTCCTATCCGTCTCTACTAGCAAGATATGTATACAGTAAGTAAGGAGCATCGGCTGATAAGCCATCACTCTCCTTGCGCAAGGACACGAGCAAAATCGGACTATCGGTAAGGTATCCCACTAGAAGTCCTTGTGAGAGGCGCCAAGGATTATCTACTTAGTTCTCTCAGCAGTGGAATGTATATTGCAAATGTTGCCAGGATAAATGTACAGCTTTAATAATCGCTAAAGCCATTATTGATGGCCTCTCCATTTCTTCCCATTCTTTTATTATGGGAGCAAATCTATGAGTTACAGTTGAGGCTAGAAGAAACATAATAGATGACCGAACAAGGGTTATTTTGCGAGGCTGACTTCTTGCAGCCCCAATCAGCCATGAGTTTCATCCCGAATTGCAGATGATCTTCGCAGCCATTTTCACGATTGGGTTAGCGTACAGGCTCCATAGGTGCGCATCTTGCGGTCGATGGAGCTACTACAACCATAATTAGTGTCGCCCTCCCCCTGCATTATATTATAATACCTTTCACTCTGAAATCTAGTTAATGATTCAAGAGAACTTCCCGACACAAAAAGTAAACATACCCGATAGCAATACTACTCTGTTTCTGCTCCAGCGTACGCTTTTACATATTATGAAAAATAAACTGACAACTTACGATATAAAATTCCGCAGGAAGGCACTTCCAAAGATCCTCAAGCTATTTCGCCAGACGCCCAAACCTGAGCGGACTGTATTCCCGGGCTTCCTGGATCTTCCTAGCGAGATTCGTCTGCTTATCTACCGATTTGCCTTCGCTACTACCTACGACCATATCCTCGTCACTGTCGATCGTGACAGGCGTGCGAGTCGTCCGATAATAAACACAGATGACCCAAACGAACGACCTACTCGAGAGCTTAGATATACCCGCAAGCCTTCCATACATCTGCCGGTAGCCTTACTTCGGACAAACCAACAGATATACTGTGAAGCCCTTCCAGTTCTATACACGAACACCATATTCTCAGCCTCCTCGAATCCCACCTCGTTAATGTACTTGAAAGATCGCCTGTCGGAATTCGCAAGAAACAATATTCGACAAATTCAGCTTTGCCCTACCTCTCTCCTCTCGCAGTCTTTTATTCGGGAGCGAGAGTTGCTATCGTGGACCGTCGTTTGTGCTGAAGTCGCTAATCTTCCTGGCCTCCGCCAGGTTCGGATATCATACCCCAACGCGGAGATGCTAAAAGATGGTACTGTAGAGTTCCATCGACGGCGATATGCAAAATGGTTAGGTTTAGTTCGAGCTGAAAAGTCTCTTGTCTTTGACGTATTTGAGGGTAGCGCAGAAGAAAGGGAAGAATGTCGAAGGCAGTTCATAGATATCATACAAGATACCGATGACACCTTGGGAGAATGATAATTCAAGGTATATTTTATAATAGCATCCTATGTCTCGAGCATCCTGTCATGTTCTACGATCTATAGAAATAAATAGTTCTAGTCTATGTTGCCCAATTGCCCCTCAAAGGTAGTCGCTCAGTTAGTTAGAATCACAGCCATAGTTGTGATCATTTATATTGCAGCCAGACTCCAGAGACCATCTGTGTAGGTCTGTATCTGCATTGAAGCAAATTTATGGTGATATATTCCATACCGAGGTGATTTTTTATTGGGCTCTTAGTATTATTTATCGATTGACCCGCGGCTGTATCCTCTGTTAAAATATTCTTTCTACCGGATGCTTCTCAGTACAATTTACAATAAATCAAGCGAAGTATATCGCCCAAGGGCAATTAAGCAGCAACTCATCTAACCATACTAGTAGTAACGGGAGTCGAGGCTCATATAAAGAGTCTACCTCAGTCCGTCCCTCGTTTGAACCGCATTGAATCCCCTACACTTCTCCACCTAGAAAATGGCGACCTTGTCCCCCACTCCATAAGATAGGGCAACCAGCTAACGGAGTTAGGACACGCAGGAATATGGACAAGAATAACAACGCTAAACCCACCTTTCCCCAGAAGGCTAGCAAATCTCACCAGGTTGATGCTTTGACGCCTGATGAGATGGATTACGATATCAAAGGGTTATCTCTTGAGGAACTTGTTCAAGACATAGCGAAAGATGTACCAGCTGATGTGATGAGGAAGAAGTGGGAATTGGATGAACGCAAGATGAATTAAGTCGCTGTAGAAACAGCAATGCCGAGTCTTTCTATTCGATCTTCGGTTTTCGCAGTAAGGTTTGTGCGGGAGTTTTAGGAATCAAATGGTTCACCTCGAGAAAGTAGATGACCTTTACTTTTAATGCCGGAGAGCGAGACTTATGGATGTGTAAAGCTACTACTAGTATTATCATCAACTGTGTAATTAGGGTAGGGGAAGAGGAGTGGTTGGGCTGTAGATATATTTGACTTTCATTTTTATATCATGATGTAGCCCTTTGTACTAAGGTGATACTAATGTTTCCCGAACACGCGACATGTCCACGTGAGGATTTCATGAGGCATACTGGAATATAATATTTCTTTCGGACTTATGCAGCGATGGTTAGCTTCTACACAATATATTTAGAGAGTAACAGCAACATAAACACATCGAGTTGCCAAGAAAAAATGTTCAATTCAGGTTCAGAGGTAATTGACAACGGTAAACAAGTATTTTACTGAAATACGATTCAACGTCGTCAGAAGCGAGGGGCAGAGGTACTGCTTACATGCTGAGAACAGGCAGATGATAGATCATAACTCATATCAATGCTCATACATTAGTGAAAAGCGTAACATGCATCTTAAGTTACTAGTTAGCAACCCGCCAATCATAGTTCAGCAGGGTAGATCTTTGACCGAAGGAGAACCTGTGGCTATGCGCCTCAATTTGTGGCGCATGAAGTCAGTCGCACAGGTCAGGCAGTGATATCATCGTCCCGGAAGCTTCGTTGTTCCTGGATTCCTGAATGCATTTGTAGACCCCTTTCTCCAGATTCTGGGGAAACTGAATGCTGATCTTTGAAATATTTAGGCGACGTTTCTGGTCTAGATCACTGTCATCTAGGGATACTCTAAAAAATTATTTTGAGAATATACAGCTCACCGACCTACGAACTTTAATACCCCTCTGTCGATCTGCTCGATCTTAGCCCTTGCTGGCCAAGACTGCCTTTTAACTTCGCCACTACCTTTAAGCTATCTGAGAGGAATATAATTGTTTCACTTGCTGTCTTTTATACTCTGATTATATATTTATTCGTCCTATTTAGATAAAGTAACCCAACATGCAGCAATTCAAACACTGGCGACGTCCGTCACAGCCGAAGCCGCACGACCCAGTGCTGACCTCCGAGGACGAAGCCTTCTTACGAAATATCGTGTCCGAACCCACAAGCGAAGCAGCCCATCCCTCTGCTGGTGCAGCTGATGATAGCCGGTCGCCTGTCAGTCCCATTGCAACAGATGCGCCTGACACCCTCCTATCACCAGTGTCGCCCTTGGAAGAGTTCAGAGAGCTAGGTGAAGAAGCAAGGAAGGCTCGAGAGAAGGAGGAACAAAGATCTGGCCCTGATCCCCAAAGACAGAGCTCCAAGGATGGAAGTTCTTCGCAGACAGAGGAGAAGAAGAAGAAAACCTGGAGCAGTTGGTTACGGAGGAAGACCACTGTGAAGAAAGTGAGCTCTTTCTCGGCGCCTGTTTTTTCATTCATCGCACTTATATGCAGTTATTCATTCTAACATTTTATGGTGATAGGAAAAACAACCTGTAAAGACCGACGTATCGGGTGACGAGCAGACTAATCCACCCACCGATTCCAAGGACGAAAATGACGCAAGGCAGGAGACAGAGGATATGACGGAGATACTAGAAAGGCTGAACCTCGCAGCGGACAATAACCGTGTTTTCTCGGTCAGCGAAGAGATGCAGGAGCTTCTGCGCAAGTTCAAGTTGATCTTCAAGGACTTGATAAACGGGGTCCCGACTGCTTATCATGACCTTGAGATGCTCCTTACTAACGGTAACACGCAGTTGCAAGGCGCATATTCTAAGCTCCCAGGGCCTATACAGAAGCTCATCGAAAAGCTTCCAGAGCGATGGACGGAAACTTTAGCCCCTGAGATGATTGCTGTAGCAAGTGAAAGGGCTGCAAAGAGCGGCGTTAATATAGATAACATTGGCAAGGCAGCCGCCGCTGCCAATAAGATGGGTATTAAGGTTCCCAGCCTGAAAGAACTGGTTGGGAAACCGGCGGCCATTGTCGGCATGCTACGATCGATCATGGCGTTCTTGCGAGCTCGATTCCCTGCCGTGCTGGGCATGAATGTGCTTTGGTCATTGGCTCTATCTAGTAAGTGTGACTGACCGTAGATTTCTATGCTCGACGTGCTATTGTTGGCGAAACATGCTGACAATTGCGTCATACAGTCCTTTTATTCGTTCTTTGGTACTGCCATAAACGTGGTCGCGAAGTCCGACTCGAGAACGAACGTCTCGTCACCGAGGAGGAGATAGAAAAGCTGAACGAGCAGTCTTCATCTGACGAAAGAATTCGAACAACCGAGACTCTCACTACAACTGCCCCGCAAGGTGCTTCGGCAGCTGAAATCCGGGAGGGCGTGAAAGATGCCCAACAGTCCCGTGAGAGAGCTATGGCTGCGGCTGAGAGTACACAATCGGAGAAGAACGATATGAAGGATAATAACCCCAAGCCGACGAGGTCAAAATCAATTTTATCTATTTGGGGCAGATCGAGCCAGAGGCCAGAACCAGCTACAAAAATTCAGCCTTACCCGGGAACCTGATTATGCCTTCTTGTTCCACCTTTGTTTCGATTTTGACTTTTCTATTCGCTCGTTTCGTGTTTGGGCTGGCTACTTGGGGTTATTGTTCGATACCACCTTTGTTTACTTCACGAAGCTTGTATGGTCATGATTACAGGATAACGACACAGAACCGGGCCTTTGGTTTCTTGGCACTTCTAAGGATTTTAATTTATGCAGATGACTATGACGATTCCATCTTAACAATACGAGCAATATGACATTGTGATCTTCTTCAGCCAGTCAAATAGCACCGGAGGAAGATGAGTAATGGGTCTCGGAGCAAAAGAAAAAACCAAAATAAAAAGCCTACTGGGGGTAAGAGAGGACGTCAAAATTGGCCACCTGTTCTATTCAAAGATAGCACCTAATCTCCCGTGAGCCATGGAAAGGGATCGGTCCGGCCAGAAATTGCGGATATGCGGTCCCGAGTGGCAATTCAACGGGTTCCATGAGGCTTCCTGGGAAGGTCGGCATCAATGCGGCCCATCCTCGCGTGCCGGAATTTTCTGGAAGATCGGCTCTGCGCTAGCTAGACTCATTTTACAGACACCCGAGACAGCCTGCACATGTGAAGCACATGAGGCGAGATGCCTTGGAGCTACTGCTAATTATTACTCTAGTGCTTCGTACTAAAGTCGTGGAACTGTCTGGTATTTAAGGCATTGATGCTTCCATAGTACGCTGGAAAATAAATCGACGGGTGCGGGGTGCAGAGAATTAGTATGCATTGGCCAATGGGATCTTCGGGGACTGCCGATCATGAGTAAGTGATGGGCCTAATGGACATAAATGGTTAGTGGAGCTTGGTACCATAACGAAAATTACCGTCTTGATAAAGGGCTGCTACTACTAGTACCTACTTAGGTACTACTAGGTGAGAAGGGCTTGCTTACTGGAAGTTCAATATATGGAGATATTATAGTGTAAAAAGTATTTTACATGCCATATGATCCCTGACTACCTCCTGGTAGTTAGTACGTTGGATGATGTCTTCTAGCCCTTGTGTACCGCCCATGAAAAGCTGGCTGTTTGAAGCATTGTTGTCTGTAACAGTATCGAACCACCACAGTGGAGACGGACAACTGTACATACATACGGAATATTCTGGACTAGAAATGCAGGTGATTCCTGGCATCTGTATATAGTATAGTAGTTTGGTTTTACCCAATAGATGCAGTGTTCACGAACTGATGTTGCAGCCGGGCTCACCAGTTTATGCCCATGCGTGTATTAATTAGTGTACGCATTGTATAGCCCACTGTCCAGGATTTGAGCCATACCGGATAGCGCGCCTGCATGGCCCATTCATCCTGCATATAGATAATCAGTTCCACGATTCGGCAACCATTCCAATGCAGCCAGCTGTCCCCTTACCGCCCCTTTGATCCAATCAGGCCTTGCATCATACGTACCAATGTCGACTACAAAGGCTAAGTATTTTAGGTGAGTAAGTAAGTATGTACAAGTACGATCTAGGCAATAGTAGGTGCTCATACTCCATCAAGTAGCTACCTAACTCCTAATCCTTCCTGGTGCCAGGTAATGGACAAGTGTGTCGTGTCATATCCTGACAGCGGCAACGGCGGGAATTCGCCTGTAATGAACCTCGATATAGCTTTCCTCTTCCTTCTACTTTCCTTGTGTTATTGTCCTATGCTTGCCACTGTGGAGAGGGATTGTGAAAATATGAAGCAAGAGGGATGACAGTCGTCCGGACTAGACCAGGAAAAATCAATAAAATAGAATTTGCAAATGAATCATTACTTCAGTCGTTGGCGCGGTAGATGGCCGCCGCTAGTGGCGGACCTCGGCCAATCCGAACCAGGATTGGAGGTAAGAGAATGATTACGGACATTTCCATATGGAGGGACCATTGTAATTCTGTTGTACTCGGCAGCAATCCAACGAATCGCCGACAGAATTCCATCCTGCCACTCGCAGATACATGGTTTTGTTATTCTTCCTGACTCATATGATGAATCATATTTCTCGGGTAAATACAGTTGTGATCTCGAGATTGATGATGTAGTTGTCTGCAGGCTCGTGCAGGAAGCACGGTTCAAAGAAAGCCCCCTGACTTGATGGGGCATGTATGTATCTAGCCTGTACAGAGTACATACTACTACATATTCCTGTCCCATCCTTTAGGCAATGCTTTTTCCGTCGAACGTTGGTAATTTTACGGAGATTTTGGCGCATCCGTTGGAAGATCGCTCTCTTACATACTTGATATCGCATTCCACATGACCCCTCATTGGGGATGGGAGGCTCAGAAGAGATCTACATTCTTCTCACCTACAGGGCTATTGGTAGTTCGTACGTTATTCCCGTATTTGGTTGTGGAATGGTTTCGAAGGTAGATAGACGTACGTATATCGGAAATGTAGGAGATTTTTAAATCGCTGTCACGCTTGTCGGAAGAAGAAATATGCCTCGTAAATGAGGCATATTGCTGTGCCCTTCTTCGCTTGTCTGAGTATCCGACTATTTTCGTCGTATTGAAACTTTTCATTTGTAGAGCGGGCCAAGCGCCCTGTATCTCTGACATGGCAAACGCAAAACTGGGTACGGGGTGAGTGTCGTTATTGATGGATCATCGACGCAAGCTGCAGAATAAGGTACCCAACGGAAAATCCTCCTGTACAGAGTGCCGTACATACATACTGTACATCCATATCAGCTCGACTTTCAGAGCTCTTTTCGTAACTAGGTACCTTTGGTCGAGTCCTGGATTATCCGAGTGTCGTGACTCAACTTCAGCAGTGAATCCTTATCGAGCTGGTCAAATCCATATTCCATGACTGGCTGTTCAAGTCTCGATGACTGATGAATATCGCCTCAAATCAAATCCTTTACAGATCCATTCATTCATTGGCTCCGGCCGCTAAGAGAAACCGTAGGCAAAAAAAAAAAAAAATGAAAAAAACAGAAATGAAAAGGGAAGAAAAAAAAAGATGCGGTGAGCACCTGCCGACCAATGATGCTACATGCTTTAGTGGTTCCTGACCAATCAAAGATGACAATACTGCGACCGGGTGATGCAAGCCCCACCATGATTGGAAAAATTGGCCCGCCCCATCCCCAAGTCCGTTCCGTCTTGTAACGGGCCAGTGACGGTGGTGGTACAGTACGCTAGCTGATCTTCTGTCTCCCTTCTCTTTCTCCCGGCCTTTTCTTCTTCCAAACATCCCAATCCACCCCTCATTCGATCTGCCATCCAACGTCGCAGATTCCCCTCCTTTTTACACGCTATAGAAATTCTTTTCACTGTCCTTACCAACAAACATCGTCATAAGTTCGTTGCCAAAATGGCCTTCGTTGAGCTGTAAATTTCTCGCTGGGGGGCATGGCAGTCTTTTCCTGCTCCCCAGTCCAGCAGCTCCGAGTTTCCTCAATCGACTTGACGATATTTGTTCTCTCTTTCGACGCAAAGTCTTGCAGCGTCGAAATTGCCCCAAAGTACAGTTACAGAAGAGGCACATTAACGTCCGCGGTGGACGGTGAGGTGCTTTCACTCTCGAAAAGTTCTTCTCTATTGTTCTGATACAAACCTCCCCCCCTCTTCTCTTCCGACCCCTGGCCTCTGACCACCTATCCTTCATCTTTATCAAACGATAACGAATGCTCCCCTGATTCTCCCGACGCTATTAACGAATTGACGGCCAAGAAAAGCAACAAACTTGCCTTGATCATCTACTTATACCCTCTGCGGAATCTCTGACGCAATACACTAAGTCTTGCAAACGGGTAACAAAACTTTGTCAACTCGGGGTAACCAAAACCGATTTGGATCCATATCGAACCGTACTTTTTTCAATTATCACATCTAAACAATACCATTGTCGACACAATGCCACCAACCGCTCACTCCCCCAAGCGGTCTTCGAAGGACGCCGGCAGGGAGAACCGCCATCGCAACTCGAGTCCCATGTCCCGCATCGGGCAACACTCTCCAAGAATATCAAACAAGGCAATCTCCCTTGGGTCACTGGCGGCTAACAGGAAACGGAGGGCTTCCTCGTCCGTCTCCAGTGTGTCATCGGTCTCTTCTGTAGATCTCAGCGATGATGTAAACGAGTCAGATGCTGATGACGAAGAGGACCCACCTGCTCTACGTGGCCCGTCTTATGGCCGTCGTGACAAGACTCATAAGGCGGGAATGAAATCTACTAAAAGAACAAAGAAGATGAGGCTATCGGATGATGACGGCTACGATGGCCAAAAGAGCAGTGGTGATAACGACTCAGAAGATAGCTCCGATGATGTTTACGCTGCAGTCGACTACATTAGCGATGGGGACGATGATGAAGATCAAGATGTAGAGAAGTTGGAAGAACTGTTGATCGTGGAGTCAGAGGATGAGAACGATTTCAATGGCATATTGACAGCCTCTACCGTCAGCGTCGCCAATTCCCATGATTGGGCGGGCCCCAATGTGTTTGATGACCACATGCTGCTTTCAGCTGCCTCGTTTTTCGACGAAGAGCAGCTCTACAGCGCCATGGAAGCCTTTGGGGAAACCGACTTGGCAAGTGAAACAGCCGTAGAGACGCCGGTTCCTCGTCGGGTGCATTTTGAGGAAGACTCAGATTCATCTTCCGATAGCGATTCCCATACAGAGGATGAAATTCCGAGTGACTTCCTCCAGCAGGACAGTCTTGATCCCCAGCTGCGTCGCATGATTGAGAATGACAACGAGACCTACAGCAACCGCCGTCGGCAGTCCGACGAACTGTTTGCGGAGTCCGACTATGGTCATTCGAACATTTATCACGTTGAGTCGGATGCTGTCTCCGAGGAATCGGAGTCGAGCGGATACGAGAGTATGCAGACACCTATGGACATTGAACTTAACCTTTTACTAACCGATTTGAAGCCGATGATGGCGAGACTACAGATGAAGACCTTCCCCCACCAGCAACAATTACCCATCCTCGCTCTATCCTGCGCCGCGATTCCTCGGCTTCTCTCCAAGCTACCACTGCTGAAGAGACGAATGATCCCACTTCCCGCCGGCGAGGGCCCATAATGGGAACCTTCGTTGCGGATCCTCACAAGCCTGTTGCACTCGTGGACTGCACGGGCAAGCATCTGGTGATCATTCCTGCATATGCCTCCTCCCGTCATGATTGGCTTGAGTCTGCCACAAATAGCATCTGTGGCACGGCTAATAATAGTCCGCGGGCAACTACAATGCACCTCGTTGATGAGAGTGACACAGATGCACTCGCATCACCGAATCACGTTGACCTCAGTCCAATGTTGGCCTCTAGCGCCAACCTCATGATGACGGCCCTTGGGAATGAGGTTACCACCGGTGGTCAAGTCATGGGTCCTCCTGAGGCCTTCTATCCGTCTCGTGACTTTGCCATTGATAGTTCATTTGAGGATGATGAAGAGGATGATCCAGAGGCTGCTTTGAACGTCGATGATTTTATTGACTTTGGTAACGGCTCCTCTGATGATGAGATGGACAAGGAATTCGACGATGATGCACTTGCCTCGCCGATGGCTGCACCCATCATCCCTGCTGCTGCCGGCACACCAACCCCTAATCGCAGTGGGGATTCACAAACAAACAGTGCGGAGCGCTTCTTGAACCACCTGGATCGTGGTATTGTGACGGCTTTCCGTCGTAATCACAATCGGTACCAGGCACTGCTACGCCTCCCACAACACCGGGAGTTTATGCCGGCAAACTCACCATCTCGACCAGCCAGTGTCTTTAGACACGCAAAACATACGGATCAACGCACGCCTACGCGGAAACGCAAAGCGAGCGGTTACAATGGCGGCGAGGCAGTCCGACGGAAGCTGATGGATGCCCACCGTCGTAGTCAACTTCCTTTTTAGGAATTTAACAGCAGACATCTTAATGTAAAGACGTGTCTCTCTTACTCTTGCGATACCCATCCCTGTTATGACCACTTATGTCTCGGATTTACTGGCACGTTGCCACGGCAGAGCTCTCATTTTCTTCTTTTATTCCCAAACCTTACTGAGTATGTGTTAGCGGCATAGACCTCCCCGTCAGGGGCCATGACTTCAGCTCGGTTTCAGCTGATAAAAGGTTCGACGGCTGGTTGTTTGGTTTTTTTTTTTTTTTTTTCTTTGGATGGAGCGGGCGTCTAGACCAAGGATTGATTGATTAGGACCGGTCTGTGTGTATGGGAGGCTTTCTGCGAGGAAATTCATTTCGGTCGAGGAGAAGCTGGTGATGGAGTCTGAAAAACCCGATGGCCAAAAGTTTACGTGATTTTCTTCCTGGAGTCGATGGTGATCCTATATTTGGCGAAGGGGATATATGGCTCTTGTTTACTCGGATTTGTTGATGTGTCCCCCCTTTATTTTCTTTGTTCTAGGTCTGTCACGTTACAAACCTCGCGTAGATAATATTTTTTATCAATGCAAAAAAAAGTTTAAACAGAAAAACCAAGGAGAAACGTAACAGATCGTTCTGCGTTGTAGGCAGCAAGGAAATGATGGCTTGAGCCTGGAGAGTTGTAGGGTAGCATTGTCCACGGTCTTCAAACAACGGAGGTCCGCGGAAGAAACCTTTGCTACGTCAAAACAAGAGAGCTAAGACAACTTTGGTACTACGTCTCGTTAGTAGCTCATGCCATTGGGTCGTGACCTGGACTTCTCATGGGGAGAGAGAGGCGAAGAAGATACCACTTGATGCAAGCCACCGCACTTGGTCTCGCTTGAGGATGCAACCCATGGACCTGTTGAGCATCGTGCGACATGCCAAGCAAAACGCCCTCGACTCCCCAAAGCCGAGGGTGCACCGAGTTTTTTGTGATGGCGTGCAATGCTATCGGAGCATAACTGATGGAGCGCCTTACCTCATCGCAGGGCATGGGCCCTGGGGAGACGGTAATTCCTCGGTCGAGAACATTTTTGCCTTGATGTAGAGGGAAAAAGGTTCCCAGCTGGTTTCACCATGCTTCCCCATTCCGAGAGAGAAGAAATGATAGGTCGCAAACAACTTGTGGCGGATGCCGTGATCATCTGATTCGTTCGCACCCTATCCTCAATGGGGGAGGTGCTCAGTAGTACCTAGAAGGTAAAGAGTTCCCTGGCGTGGGATGAGAGATCGGGATTTGCTTGTTGTCTTTGCGACGAGCTTCTCATTATCTTCGCCTCGCTACATCCACCCTATTGAAGTTTAATCGCAGAGTGTGAAAGAGTTAATCGGGGGTTAAAGGGTTCGGGCGGTTCGTGATCCGGTCCGGCGGTTAATCGACGCTGGGGGGGGGGGGAGCGTGGTGAGAGATCCATGTCAGGAAATATTTGCCAAAGAATCGAGAACCCTATAATTAGTTCCCGTAAAATTAGAGGCTTCGGGGATCCTCTCACACTGGCTGAGTTTCAAGCGAGACGCCCTGTGGAGTGATGGTGGCACATTCTGACCCTGCCGTGGACCTTCATTCATAACTTGACAAGATAGCCTTGATACTATGCGACTATTCTCTGATAATGGGTGCGGGGTGATTTATACACTGCTTAGGGTCTGGATTGTAACCCTTCCAGGGGGCTGCTTTGTGTCTCTCCACTAAACCTTCGATCTATCAATTGCATATTTTACATTATTGCCTCCTATGATTAATCGTAATTTCGATTTGATTCTGGACTGGACACAGCGCTTCGCCACCACCGTTTCCTTTTTATGTTGTCGTTGTATTGTCTAATTCTTATTCTTCTATTTAGTCTGCCCTGAGAGGAAGGACCCTCTGTCGATCCGGCGGCTGTTCGAGCGATCATCACCGGTTTCCTTTCCCCATAGGCTAGACTAGATCTTATCCTCACACCTGTTCGTCTGAAGACTTCACTACCGGTTCGCACATCGGTACCTGTTCTCCGTTCTTCAGAGAGGAGGCATTTAGTTGGCGATCCAGGGCGCATATTTTGCTCTCTGTCTCTCTGTCTCCTCTCTCTCTCTCTCAATTCGCAGGTTATGTGGAAATAATGCACTGGGTGGGGGCGCCGTGATTGGTGAACTGGATTGAGGTACCTGCACTAGCGGCACAGTGCGACAATCGCTGATTGGTCGGTTAGTTATACTTTTGGGTCATTGTTGTTGGACAAGAAATAAAATAAAAATAATACTCAGGAATAATGGAGAGCCAGTAGTATTATTACTTGGTACGACTCAGGTAAAATGAATTATCCATGCATTACCGAATAAAAACAGGGTCCATCAAAAATGAAAGAGAAAAGAAAAAACACAAGACAAGACAAATGAAACCCGGGCCGGTTTATAATAAGTAGTCGAAGTCCCTCCCCCCGGAGACCTTGGACGCTTCTGTTTCTATCTGTTCATCTTTTCCTTTTCCTTTTTTTTTTACTCTCTCTCTCTCTGTCGTTTTGAAGTTGTTGTACTATTTTACATCTCTTTGATTCAATACACTCGTTCATCTCGGGTTCACTTGGTGGCCCGTCTTTCGTTATCTGGTTGTTACGGTGTTGTTGTTATTGCTGGTCGAGAATAATAATACTGAACTATATCTTTTTCTTTCTCTTCGACGACTACTACTACTATTCTCACTACTTTCGTCTTGATTCTACCTCCATTCGTTCCACTATTAGTCGCTGACCTCAGTAACCATGAGGGTCTCTACCTCGGTTGCACTCGCCTCTCTCCTGGCCATGGCCCAGGCTCATCCTTCGGGCGCCGTAAGTGTTAATGTATAGAGAGACCCGGTGATTCTAGGCTGATAATTCTCCAGTGGTGGGGCACGGACGATTGCTATACTAGCCCGGATAATACCAATAATGAATGCTCTGACGAGATGCGCGGTGGATTCAACTGGGCTGGCCTCGCCGTCGGTCCTTTCGACTTCTTCGCTGGCTTTGCGTTTTCTGGGTTCTCTTTCAGCAGTAGCTTCAGTGGTGCTGTTGGTGGCGGCTTTGCCGTAAGTAGGCACGCATCGGTGGATACAACGATGTCCATATTAACGTCTACAGGGCCAATGCATTGAGTCGAATCTCTCTAAGGACGACGAGACGTCACCGGAGATCTCGTCCGGCAGCGATAAGACCTTCTCCATCAGCAAACTTCACCTGGTGACCGCCGAAGAGGCTGACATCAAGATCATCTATGACATGCCTGATGGTTCTTCCTGCAAGCATGTTGCACCAATCTCTCCGAAGGGAACTGTTGTCACCAACGACCAGTGCGGTGGTGCCAGCTCTGTCCGATTTGAACTTGCAGAGGAGGCCACCGTGGATGATGTAGTCTTCGGTATCCAGAATATCGAGTTCGAATGCTCCGCTGGCCAGAAGACTCCGACTCCCTCTCATCACCATACGAGTCCGACTGCGACTGGACACTCGTCTACCCCAGTGATTCCAGTCCCGTCGTCGTCCAATGCAGTCACGCCTCCTGCTCCTAGCACTCCCGTCAGGATGACCACCTCGACCGTGTATACTACAAGTTTGATCACCATCACGAGCTGTGCTCCGACCGTTACCAACTGCCCTGGTGATTCGACCACGGTTGTTACTTCCACCATTGCTGTCTCGACCACAGTCTGCCCGGTCACCTCGACTGAAACTCCCGCGAAGCCTACCGAAACCCCCGCGAAGCCTACTGAAACCCCCGGCAAGCCTACCGAAACCCCCGCAAAGCCTACTGAAACCCCCGGCAAGCCTACTGAAACCCCTGGCAAGCCTACTGGAAGTTCCCCTGTTGGCGGTTCCTCCGAGGTTCCCTCTCCAAGCAGCCCCGCTCCCACAGGTACTGCTGGTACTTCGTCGGGAGTTCATCCAACTAGCCATGGTGGATCTTCTTCCATCCCTCCAGAGTCAACCACCACTGTGGTGACATGGGAAACCCTGACTACCTGTCCAGTGACCACTACCGCTACTTCTGACGGCGTCACCACCACTTCCGTCTACAGCACTGTGTCCACGGTTACCCTTACATCGACATCTACCATTTGCAACAAGTGCACTGCTACTCCTCCCACTAGCAAGCCCACTGGCACCCCGAGCGGAACCTCTCCTACCCCGACAGGCGTTTCCCCCGAGGAGCCTTCTGAGGATTCTACCACGACCGTCGTTACTTATACCACCGTGACCGACTGTCCAGTAACCACGACTGCTACTACCGGTGGCACCACCACCACTTCCGTCTACACAACCCAGTCAACCGTTACCTTGACCTCGACCTCCACGGTGTGCACCAAGTGCTCCTCCAGCCCGCCCCCTACCGGAGTCGCGCCTATCAGTACTCCTGCTGAGGGTGCAACGACAGTCGTCACCTACGAAACCGTGACCACTTGCCCTGTCACTACTACTATCACCTCCGGTGGATCCACAACCACGTCTGTCTTCACCACTATCTCGACGGTGACCAAGACCTTCAGCTCTGCCGTGAAGCCAACTGGAATTCCCTCTTCTCCTGCTCCCTCTTCACCCCCTCCATCAGCGCCATGCCCTAACTCGGTGCCCAAGTGCATCAACACCTGGCTCCCTCTCCTGCCCAAGTGTACTTCCAACGCGGAGCCTGGTTGTTTCTGCCCAAACCATGAGTTCACGGACAAAGTCATCAGCTGTATTCAGGCTTGGGGTGCATCCAAAGAAGAGGTCCAGGCCGCGCTCTCCTACTTCACCGGTATCTGTGCTGCCTATGTCCCTGGAAACCCAGGCATTGTCACTGGTATTCCGAGCACCATTACTCTGATCCCCACTCCTGCCCCAACAGGTGTCGCCCCTGTGACCGGCACCAGTGCCGCACCACAGCCAACTGCCGCTCCAGAGGTTCCTCTCACCACCATCATCTACTCCACCTACACGGTGGCCGTTCCGCAGGTTACCTTCACCACCGGCACCTCCGGCCACTCGACTACCGTCGGCTTGATTCCGGGCCCTGCCCCAACCGGTGTATCCCCAGGTCACTCCTCGGGCATCCCGAACCCATGGGTCTCCGCCTCGTCTACGTGGGTATCCCGCCATCATCCTAGCTCGACAGCCAAGCCATCATCTACCTATACCCCTCCTCCCCTCGCTAACAGTGCCTCCTCTGTGTCCACCAGCTTCTGGCTGGCCATGGGAGTTGCCACGCTCTTCAGCATCATCTTCTGATTATAACACTCTCCTTTTTCATATTTGATTTTGATTTCAAAGACCATGTTCCTCATCCCTGCTTCTCAGATTGTTAATAGGTCGTGACATGTAGGTCACTGAGATGAATCTGGAGAGTAAATGTAGCAAGTCTCTTTCCTTCAAATTTATAATGCCTACTGTGCTTTCTGCTTTCTGCTTTCAAGTCTCGTTTTCAAAATAAGCCCTGCAATAATACCATTCTCGCGACAGACAACATAGAAACGTGTTAGCTTATAAAAACCAAATAAACATAACCAGTCAGTAGTAATCCAACAATACAATACAAGTCACCTACAACCCTAGCTACATACAATAAACAAATATACAATCTCAGAATCTCATCAAGTTCAAACCCATCAACTACACACATGCATAGATACATAAATACTATTAACTACGTACTCTAAAATCCAACATTTACTTGGTTTATTTGCTTTAGTTTATTATCATAGTATACACAATGTATAAAATATATTACTGTAACAAGTAATATATAATATAATATAACCACCCCTTATAACTTAGTCTTAGACGAAACTAACGGCTACTAGCTAGGATAAACATGCATGGGTCGTACGTTGAACAGGGATACTCCACTCACTCTACTCCATCGTTAGGCAGGTAGACTACCTCTACTACTACTAGCAGCAGATTGTATTATATGTGAATGACGTAGTGGTACTACAAATCAATAGAAGTAAGGGGTTTATTACACGAAATAAGGATTAAAATTTAACTATATACGGATGAACAAAAAAAAAAAAAAAAAAAAAAAAAAAAAAAAAAAAAAAAAAAAAAAAAAAAAAAAAAAAAAAAAAAAAAAAAAAAAAGAAAGAGGAAGAAATAGAAAATATAGAATATAGACTGAGGAATATTATAAATACATAATACTTATACTCCGTACTCTTTCGGGTATGACTATAGGTATTGTCGGTATACATGGTCTGATGATATCTCTGTTTAAATCTTAGTTGAGAGGTGTGAGTATGTGTATGACTGACTGGTGTCGGATTATAGCCTAGCTTTGGGGGCAGGATGATGTTGATAGGTGAATTAGATTTTTTGTCTTTTTTTTCTTCTCTTTCTTCGGGATTATTTATATCTCTTTTATATTTTTTTCAAAGCACAGAGATTATTAAGTAGTACTAATGATTTGTTGCATGTTGTTTGTCTAGGTGATATTGGGATGGGGATTTAGGTGCGTGTTAGGACAGGAATTCTAAGGAATTTTTTTCCTTAGTGTATGTCAGGGTTATTATATTGGCATATATTTTGTATAGATTCTGGAAACTCAATGGTAATAACATTAATGCCATCAGCTTTAACAGAACTCTCAGTATTGTTAGATATGATAGAACCTAGTAACTAGCTGAAGTATCCATATTCAATGGTATTAAAAACCGCATTTTTTACACTGCACTGGCCTACGCTGTACAAATCTCATACATTTATTTCCAACATTCAACTGGTAAACCCCGGATACAAGTCGAATCTATCTTCAGAATGCCTTGTCAAACAAACTGGTTCCAAACAGAAAACACTCGACTCCAGCATTAAAGCAATAGAAGGAAAGATAAGGAAGAGAAGATAAACAATTCACAATTGAGAAATGAAAAGTGGGACACTATTCCGTCCCGTTCCAGCCATCCAATGACCTTTCCAAACGCCATCATGGTATTATAGCTTCTCCCGCTGCCCGTGAATTCTAAGTCATGATCATATAAACGCCAATAAGGGAAGAGTCGCAAACGCGGGGCATCTATCCGGTTCTGGACTTCTTTGCGCGGTCGCTGCTGTATTCTGGCCTTGTCTTCCCACTTTCGATCGGGTGCAGATGTATGCCCATGTCGGGCGGGAAGTCGGGATGCAACATGCTGAATCGGTGTGGGTTCTGCGGGATCCCGTCTATCTCGGCCGGGACCGGTTCTACGAGTAGCTGGATCAAGCCCTTATCCACATAGCTTGCTGGCTTTGCGTGGAGACGGTCCATTCTGGCCCAGTCGTCATCCACTTCTTCGTTCATCAAGGGGGGTAGCGGAGGTGCGCCGTTATTGCTGGGTCGCGCATGGTAATTGGCGAGGATGTTGTAAGGCAGATTGGGACGGACAGCCGGTTTATCCGACAGCTCGGCAAGGGCATTAAGGGCATGGTTACCATGTCCACGGGTAGAGCGGGTAGCGTGGAAGTTCTGGCTAGCGGTCCGCGCCATGTCGGTAGCAGGAGTGCCATTGTCTTCCGTGCCATCCGCCCCAGATGCGTCTTCAGCATCGGTGTTGTTACCATTCGTCGCTGCACCAGAGGGCTGGTCGGCACGCTTAGAGGTTGAAAAGAAGTGGACCGTGGCAACGTGCGCTTGATTAGCATGGGCACTCAGCTCCTTCTCCGTGAATAGTGACTGCATCGAATAGGACGGGGCATGCTGCTGCTGCACTACCTGGGCCTTCGCACGCTCGGCTGGGTTAGTGTAGCCACCCTCCCGTACCGGAGATCCAACGTCCTCCTCAGGAGCCTTCCGCTTTCTCTTATTGAAGTCCGCCAGAATACCATTGCCCAGCTCGTCCACCAGATCGACACGGTGGCGGGTGTGTCGGGTTTTGCGGTTCCCGTGGATTCCGCCAGGACTAGAGGGATTGGTGATGCTGAACTGGTTGGGATGCAGAAGCAGAGCGTTAGTATCTGCGATATCCAGCTGCTCCTTCTCGCGCATCAGGCGAGTCCTCTTGCCCGCTATTGTCTGCACGAGGCGCTCTCGAAGGGTAGCGGACAGATGCTTGTATTCTTCTTCGGCAAAATGAACACGAAAAGCGTATTCCTTTTGAAACCGTTCTAGGTTACTATTATGACGGTGCTGATATAGAATCTATTAGCACAAGCAAACCTTTAGAAATAATGGAGAGGTCCCCAATGCCTAATGACACGACCGTGCAAAAACAGCGAAAATGGCCTAAAACCAGGAAACACTTACCACCAGCATAGCCAAATCTGCATCCTTTTCAGTTTTAACCTGATTTACCTCCTGCACAAACCGTGAATACCACATGCCAGCTAGACTCGACATCTCCTTTGCGAATTTCCCCCCGCCGACTGTAGTCTCTATTAAATGCGCGATCTCTTCCGACGAGTCCGGCAGAGGACCAGGCGAGTATGGATCGGCATTGTTGATGAGGGTCATATCACATTGCAAGGCATGGAGCTGCTGACGAAACTGGGTATCTCGGTTTTGGCTGAAGGAGGACGTGAGGTCTTGTAAGCGCTCCTGCAGCGCACTGCGCCGCTTGTCTCGCTTAGAAAGAGGTACGCTGGTCGGCGGGCTTGCCGATCGGCCCCTGGAGTGTAAGCTATTTACCAAACTTGGACCAGGGCCACCATGCACAGGCGATGCCGGTGCAGGAGAGTAAGCCATGGCTAGTTCAGGCCTATACTAGCTGGCCGCAGGTGAGGAGGTCGTGGGAGGGAAGTAGAAAGGTATGCGAAATGATTATTCAGTGTTGCAATCAGTTGCAACTTGGCAAGAAAATCACTGAAACAGAAACAAAACTGTCAAGAGACCTTGAGGAAGAGCACGCATAAGTAAATTAGATGACGAAAAAAGAAAAGAGACTGTGGTGAGGAGACGAACAAACCGGTGCTGAGCAGAAAGCGGGAATCCAGCCGCTGGCCCGATGCAGTATAGTGCCGGCAACATTTTACACCGCTCGGAGATGATAGTAAGATTCTGTAAGTTACATACTTATTTAGACAATACAAACAGGTTCCATTCTATGTCTAAAAAGTTCGAGTACGTGGTTATACGCTGCCGAGGCATCATCTTTGACATTGTGTGGGTGAAGCACGGTACACCGAAATGAAATGTACAAAATGGTCCTAGACGCCTAGAACTACCTGTTAATGATCACGAGGTGTATGACGTTGTATCTCTCACACGCTCAAGGCGAATCAGATGTCGTGGAATACCACTGGTGATAAGCAATCAAGTCAAGAGTGGTAACTAAGAAATACATATTATTTGAGGGAAAGAGGCTTCGCATATCATAAAGTCCATATAGTATGTATTCGTTTGGGCTTGATCATTTATATCCATAATCTAAAACATGTTGGTCGTCTCGCTTCACAAAGCATAAAACAAACACCGTAAAACAAACATGCTGGGTATTTGTACTCCGTATCCCATATGAAAATGCAGTTTAACGTCCCTGGACTTCCCACGAAGAAAGTCATGTCCAGAACCGACACCATAGACGCCATGATGTTCACAAGTTCCCCCCGTTTTATTCGCCCTGATGTATCCAAAGAAAAATAATAAAGCAATAGGTTAAGAAGTTTGACGAGCAGGAGGTTGAAAAGAGCAAGAAAAATGGTTCCCTAAAGTAGGCTCCTGCAGTAGGACCAACAATAGTCACGGACCTTAGTGGGACCGACGAATCACGAAAACTCCAAGTTCGATCCCATCGCGAGGCTCAGTTTCCTCGCCATAGGGTCGCTTTCTAATACCATCGAGTATCTCACCCAGGAGCATAGCGGACGTCACCTCTTTGTCCTCCAGAAGATAGTTTGTAGACAAATTTGAAGCGGCTTTTGCTGCGGGTAAGCGACGGCCATTTTGCCAGTAGAGACTGAGTACATCTTTCATCCGAGTCCTTTCTTGGTGGATGAACCACTCAGTCCATACATGGCGATCAAGGTGGGCACTGCCCTTCCGTGCATCGGCAATGGTAAATTGCGATGACGACGAACTTAGATCAGAGCAGAGCTGCTCCAGTTTGTTGCGCATTGTGTCAAAGTCTTCCATGTGGCTGACAGTGGAGAGTTTACCCAAATAGCGGCCTACGTCGGCGGATAGTTCGTTCACTACCACCAGCTGCCGAAGCAAGGGATCAAGGATAGGCCCCAGATATTGCGATTTGAAGGTCGAACCACCTCGTTTTGTCGGGTATATAAACAGCAAAGACCCTCCGTCACGCGAGAGCTCGGACATCCGATCGACCAAAAACGAGGGGCGGCCGGGATTGAAAAGGTCCTTGTATTCTTGAGGCGATGACGGTGGAAGGTACCGTTCTAGGACCGATAGGTGTACACTAAACGGAGGAACAACCGGCATAGGGAAGCGTAATGCTTTCCCCTGGATTACACCCCGAAAATCATGGTATGCGGACACCACGGCCGCACTGGAAAACACACTAGAGTTGAAATAATCATCCGCAGAAAATAAGGACTGCGGGGTGTTCGGTGGAGAGTACGGAAGGTTTGAGAGACTGAATTGTTCGGGAACTGCATGTGTGATGTTGATATATGATGGCGATCGTCCCGATTGGATGCGACGTTGTACGGCCTGAATGAGGGAGCAGAACACCTCATCGTTCGTGTGAACGGCTGCGTTCTTATCTGCTGTACATGGGTAAGGAAGCATTTGAGAAACAATTTTGACGGCTTCTCCGGTATTACTTGGGAACGGTAGGGAAGATACTGCCGGAGAAGCTATGTGAGTCTATCGATCACCCATGGTTCTAGGGTCATGACCTACCAGTCGATTCAATACCACTCTCAAGCCAAGAATTAAGATCACAATCCATCTCACCAGATGAGCCTGGACTTCCGGAGCTCGAAGGAGAAATGTTCGAGAGTTGATCGGACGGGCTACTCAGACCGTCTGTAGTAGCGCCTCTGGCAGTGCTGTCCACATTCGGACCTTCGTCCATGGGCATTGGCCCAGGTTCCCTGCTCAAAGGCGATTCGAAAAGCAGCATTCCGGACCGAGGATTCCACGCAACGTACTCGTCGTCTTCCGGAGGTGTTGGGGGGAGAGCAGTGGGGTAGTCGCCTTTGGTCTCGAAGTCCCACACCGTAGAAGTGGACTGGGATGCGCGAGTCGCCAGCGAGCTCGACGCCGCAGAAGTGGTATGAAGACGGAGACGAGAATCAGCTGAATGGGTGCGCGATTCGATTCGACTAGATGACTTCGTTTTCGAAGAAGAAAGGCCGAGATGCTCAAAGGACGGGAGATGTAAAGATGCGTTGCTTCTCGATAGAAAGCGAGACACAGGTGATGGTTTCGTTAGAAGTGATCCTTGAGACGCTCGCCGCTTAAGCCGGCTGGAGCCTGTATCCGAGGAAAATGGAGCTTGCTGTTGTTGAGGAGACACTGGGCTTAGTTGAGATGAATTCTGTCTCTCTGGAGAGGTCACGGCTCCCTGTTGCGGTGAGCCGGGTCCCCCAGGCATATATGAGGAATTGGTAGAAACGCTGGTGTCTGAGTATGGCGAACGCATGACAAAGTTATCTCGCACCACAGATGCAGGCCGACACGGTCCATGGCACTGTGGCTGATACATCCAGTCCGCGTTGGGTCGTTGGCGAGGCCGAGCAGAGATGATCGAAGAATTGGTCTGTGGACGGATTCCCCGACAACGAAGACGGCTACGCTAGCATGGATGGCCTTCCGGGATTGGTGGAATACAATCAAAAGCCGTTTGGTCGGTGATGTATTCCGTAAAGAGTGTAAGTCTCGCGCAGGGTGACTCCTTAAAAGGGTTGAGCGTGAGATTGGTGGAGAGGGGGATAATGGGTTGAAAGGAAGACGGGGCGGGAGAAAGAAGAAAGGCGGATGAGGCCCAGGTAAAAAAGAAGGAAGCGAGGATGTGGGAGGAGATGAATCGTGATGACACGGTGGGGAAAGGAGAGAGATTGCAGGAGGAGAGAGACAGAGAGAGAGAGAGAGAGAAACCGGAAAAGGTTAGAAAATGAGGACAAGGAAGTAAAGAGAACCAGTAGAGAAAGGAGGAAGAGAAAGGAAAGAAAGAGGAGAGAAAGAGAAGAAGAGTCGTCAGGCCAGCGGCTCGCAAGGAGAATAATGACGCTTGGGAAATGACCCAGCAGAGGCCCAGACACAAGAGACTGACAGCCCGAACAAGAACAAGAAGACTGTGTCCCTCGGGCTGCGACTTTCCACCGGCGTTCTAGACCGGGCGGGCTTGGCCTGATTGGGGAATCCATGACACGAGGTCCGGTCGGAGGCATCGAATGCTTGTGCAGAAGATGCATTAACGTGTAATTATGTTTACCAGTAATTTTGAATTCCCCTATCGAATTTATTTAAGCATAACGTTCCTGCTCGTTCTGTTGGCCATAAATTGTTCATGGTTTTGTTTCTGATTGCCTATTTCTGATATTGACCATGCTTACTCTTCCTAACCTATTGTAGAACGGTGTTAATTATGGAGCACCACCACTGCAAGTCGCCTAACCCCTAGTAGGCCGCCGACCTGTCTAGACCCTCATAGTGGCTGATCGGGGCTTAGTGTCCACAAAAAGCTGACGATACCGTAACGGGAGATACACGGACCTTTCAAAAATTCCATCAGATTTTTTGCCTCCCAAAGCCTGAGACCCACTTTCTGGCCTCATATTGGGGATGGACCCTTGGGAATGGAGAATGTTCGAGTATTGGTCAAGTGGTGGTCAAGTGGTGGTTCAGGAAATTGGATGGAGTCTGGGATTAATGACTCTTGCTTGATGGATAACTTGCTGATCTGAGTTTGGTGGCAGAAGGAGTATGACTTGGTGATCGTCCGGATCTGGAGTGCTCTTCTCTTTGTCTGGACTTCTGGACCCTTTTGGCGCTGTGACTCCGGGTCCAGAGTACAGTGAGTAACATCTATTTTTCCCACCGCTCTGGATCTTCCCGTAATACCGACCAGCTTCACATTTCTAGATTCGTTCTCGATCACTACTACTCCCTACCAACTACCATACTATTTAGCAAGTCATGAGTCCGGTAGGAGGCCAATTGTACCACCCAAACCATGAGTACCAGTGGTCTTCGTTCAATCTGATCAATCCAAGCGGAAAATAGTCCCCGGTCCAATCGCTTTCCCCCAGTATGATGGAATGGAGAAACTCAGTCAATAGTGTATGGAATAGTTCAGTTTGACTAGACTTTCGGCACAACCGACTATCAGCATCCTGTGCAGAAAAAAAAGCATAAATATGCCAGGCATTCCTAGAAGTCAAATGGCTTAAGTCAGATTATAACAGGTCAGTCTTATTCTCGTCTTAACAACACTCATTGGCTGGCTCAAGTCAATATCAAACTTCCAACATCCTTCCACCTCAAGTCCAGAATCTCCCATTTATAAAATCCAGCAAATAGAAAAGAGTAAATCGGTAAAAGAACGATTGTAAACCGAACTGGCCGATACACCCCAGGAAAACAACACTAGTCATTATTAAAATTAAACTACTTATCGTCTTTGAGTTTTATTTTTCTTTTCTTTTTTCTTTTTTCCTGTCCTGTCCGTCCCAGAACAATTGAGAATTATTGACGTCGACATTCTTCCCCGCCCTGTCTCTCACGGACTCTGATTGGACCCATCCTCCAATGGCTTGCATCGCCCGATCAAGTCTCCACTGCCGCTTGCAGGTGGATTGACGCCTAGACTCATGTTCCGTGCTGCCGAAGAGATCCGCCTTGATCTGGCCTTTTTGCTCACTTGTCCCCGTTGTTGACCGCCTATGGTTATTGGGCTGCCTTGCCATCGACCATGGTTACTCTGCTTACATACGTACAGTACACAGTACATGCACACAGAAGAAGCGAGAGCCAAGAGGACATAAGTACAGTACAGTACACAATATTCATGGTGGTCTTAGCCCTAGTCAAGGCTCATTCATGGACGTTATGTGCAAATGAATCCTTCTATCTTGTACCTCCTTGTTAAGGAAAGAAAGTGAGAAGACGGTGGTTGGTCACACTCTTCGTTCATTTCTTTTTTTTTTTTTTTCTTCATGAGCCTCGATTTCCCAAGACTACGGTCCTCTGTTGGGTGCTCTGTTCTTTGTTGATTGTTGTCCTACAGTCAAGAAAAAGGAAGTAAAGTATTCCGTACAGGTAGTCGTTTCTGTATATCCTGACCGTTGGCTTCTTTGGGCAACATGCATACAGTTTTAACTTCTGGGGGCTTGCCAGCCCGGTTATACTCCGTATTTCTTATGGAATATACCGGGAAGTACCTGATATAATTATCACAAATTTCCTTGCCTTCAAATGGCCTTTTTCCTAATTCTCTCATTGAGGAGGTATATAGAATCAGTACCCGAATATGTACCTAATGAACCAAGCACATTCAAAACCACGCAACCGAATACAAAGAGACGAAAAGCAAAACGCCCCGGAAAACAAAAGAAGTATCCCTTGTAGAAGAAGAAGAAGAAAAACAAAACAAAAACAAACAAAAACAAAATCCCGCCATTAACATAAGTAGCAGTAAGAACTTTGTAGTCGCAGGAAATTCAGACCCAAAAAAGAAAAAGAAAAGGAAGAAATAATAACATGAAATACGACTACCATTCACACAGAACACAATACCATCCAAATCTTCGCCCCCCGTCTCCTATCAAAAAAAAAAAAATATGAACCATGCCATGCTTTCCCATCCATGGAACCTCAAATAAAAGCCCTTCCCTCTCTATCCAAACAACACCCTCCAAACGAAGAAAGACTTCTATCCTCAAACAGACCCTAACCAAGGAAACCTCGCGTGTCAGATTGAATTTACAAAAAAGTATCAAATGCTAACCAACGAGTCGAATCCATGTCGCTGGGATTTTCCCAAATAATGGTGTCCACATCCCCACTCATTATTAGCGATAGATTAGTTATTCATTATCCATTGGATTTGGGGGTGAGATTCGGTACTTAAGAACTGGGTCTGGAAATTGACATAAACAAACAAATACGTTCTTTCTCAACGGGTCGTAACCAAAACCGAATAGGTTTAGATGATGGGGGTAAATTTTTTTTCTTTTTTTTTTTTTTTTTTTTGCCCACAATTTTCTTGTTCTCGGATGTCCCGTGTCTCCACAATGACTTGTCTCAGGTAGAGAGAGCGTTGCGTGGAGGTGGTCTTGTTTGGCTAGGATGATGGTGACGTTTTGTATTAGGGTTTTCTGGTTTTCTGGTAACGGCGGTGGTTGCTTAGAACAAGAGATTGATGGCGTTTCTTGACTAGAGGTTAAATGCTCTTGGTGGAGGGATTCTGGGGATTAGAGGGGAGTTAGTGTTTCGTCACTGCGAGGGGTTGTCCAATTGGATGTAATAAGCAGCTTGTTTATTGTCTACTAGCATGGGGTTTAATTTCTTGGTTGGACGTATCAATACACTGCGAATCAACATTGGTAGAGTATTGGATTGTTTCGCTGTAACCGTATACAAGATTCCTCTCATAATTCATTCAATCCTCCAAGATCGCATCGACTTCGACTTCAACTAACATTCTCTCATCGACAAATCCGTTCACTACAACCATCGTTGCAGCCGCGCCCACCCCTGGATGGCTAGCACGTCCCAGCACCTCAGTGTACCCTTCTCCAACAGCTACGCAGTCTTTGTGTCGACTGACAAACATCCTCACACGCACCACATTCTCCGCTCCTTTGCCGCCCAGGGCTTGAACTGCCCGAATGCATTCTTGTAGGGCCACACGTGTCTGCTGACGGGCGTCCCCAGGGAAGAGAATCTGGGGCGCATCACTTGGCGACGCGGGGTCGACGGCTGTAGTACCAGAAACGAAAATATGTCGTCCATGCCGGACAGCTCGGTAATAGCCAATCTTCTCCTCGAACGGCGATGATGTCGCGTAGACTTGTTTGAGGGAGCCGGGCGCGGGGGTGGTGTAAGGGTCAAGATCAGCGTGTGAAGCCATGGTTGTAATGTTGTTTGGAAAACAGGCCGGATATGCAGAATATTTCCAGGGGACGCGATTATGCGCCAATTCCCTTCTTCCCACTGTTATTTATGGGATACGAGGCCTACCGTGGGAGTGAGTCATGCCAAGTATCCGGGCGAGCGCCTTCTTTCGGCACTCATCCGTGTTTCCAATACTATCGGACTAACCCGAACTGGTTCGACCTGCAGGACTTAAGAACATTCCTGACGTTATCGTATCGCCAGGGGCACTTGTTTTGTTCGTCTGGAGGTCTAGACAATCTAGACCGGCAACGACATGAGCTCAAGAAGTCACCGACCTTCTGCGGGGATCGCCGTGTCTGCGGGCATGAAATCTTTGCGGCCGATCTTGCCAATATGATGACATGCAACGGCTACCCGCGACCTTGGACAAGAGCTTCTGCTCTTCTCCAGTCATTCGTGATATAGCAATCGAGGGCTTCATTGGGTGGTGTGATTGCCGCAGCGACTCACGACGGAAGTGAGCACTGGGGTCGTATGTCTGAGATTGGTGGTTTTGCCGATCCAACGCAGATCGGAGTTCCAGGCACTGCAGCACCAGCTGCTTGACACCGTCGGTCAACGCACAGGCGCGGTACTCGATATCGGGCCAGAAATCATGACCCCAGAAAGGATCCTCGCGCACAGCTGTTTCTAATGCCTCAAGCCAAAAGTCGAAGCTGGGCAACCGACTTTTCCCGTGGAGCAGGTCCAGACCTTGTAGGTGGTCGGACAGAAGGCAAGCCACGGCTACGAAACGAATAGTCGGCTCGGAGTGCAAGACGTGTAAGACGATGCAAGCGGGGCATCGTTCGGTCAGGTACCAATCATGCTCCTCGGTGAGGATGCATTGAAGCCAGGCATAAGCACTGCGTGCTTCCCCGCGAAATGCCCGTTCCGATTCCGCTTCTTTGCGGCTGGGCAACGCCCTAGCGGCGACACGCGAGGCTTGGTGGTGGAGCAGAAACAAAGGAAGTAAGAGAGTATGGATTATATCGCGATGCAGGCGGAAGGACTCCTTGTCTTGATCGGAGCAAGAATGGCGGTGGTGAGAGCAGAAACTGCGGTCATGAAAGATCAGCGACAATCGTACATACCGGCTGGGTATCATTCCAAACATACCTTGGGGCATCCATGCCCATCTCTTGGCGCTTCAGGTGCTCTCGAACGGCTATAAATGCCTCATTGCGATCAAGCTTCTCTCCATCCTTCCTGGAGATCCGAAATGGTGAAACAACACCGCTAGTGGACATTCTGAAACAATGAATGTATCGCTAGGATACGTCCGGGAGAAGACCGGTTGAGGAAAAAGCAAAACTCAAGACAAAGGCGTAGACGATGAAAACGCACAATGGTCGCGTAATCGATTTCAATATTGGACAGGGAATAAGTTTTTGGATGACGTCGACTACGGAAGGCGACCGATCGGGACAAACATAGAAACTGTGGAGAGTCGTAGAACCACGGATCGCATGGTCCAGCACAATCGCTTTATCTCTGGAGGGGGTCGAGGAGGGGGAGGTGAAAGGTACGTAGGTGGAAGGGGAATAAAAGGGGAAAGGAGAAGAATTGACGGTATTTAGAGAGGAAAGTACGTCGTACTAAATACTTAATAGTTTCTATGCGATCTTTTTTAGGACGAACAGGGAAATTCGCACGCATGCGGGAAGGGGGTTCCAAATCAGGTGAAGACCCGTCATCCACGCAAGCACTCGTCGATCTTATTTTTAGTGTCACCGTTAACTCTTCTCAAACTCCTCCTTTTCATTAAATTCGTTCAGAGTCGCTCATCTCCGACGGTCTCCCAACTGTTTGAGATTCTTTTGATAGGTCTCGCACAGAGTACACAGCATGGTCCTTTCCTTTCATTATTGTTCTCCTTCACCCCCTTTTTTCTCTCTTCCACTGGCGGTCAAACTTCCCCCGAACGGATTCTGTTTAATTGAAATGGCCCATTTGGGTACAGTTGATCCTAATTTAATTGCCTTGTGGGGCCCTGAAGGGTCTCGATCGAATTCCGACCCCCCCTCGTCAATCCCCTCGTGCAGGCCATTATTGCATTAGTGGCAATATTCCAAGTTTTTACGAGAAACAACATCCACTTCTCCATGAGACAAGTCACTAATGTAGTAATAACAGCACTAATTGCTTCCTTAAGTATAGTGAAACCAGCAACAAGATGGCCCATTATATCATCGGTCGAAGCAATCGTTGAGCCAGTTGCCTTAGGCAGGAATGCATCGGGCTAACACGGACATTGGGGTTGAGATCTTCTGGTTCTGATTGGTGCATCAAACTCGCTCGCTATCTCCATCAGGGACTTTTTCCGGCAGTGAATACAACACAACCCTGTGATGGTCAGACCTTCCCCGTGGACACTATAACTTCATTTGGGGAGGATCGCCTATACAACCCGACGATCCTGTCCGTACGTACTCTGCTAAATTTCACTCCATTTACTCGGGGTCGTGCGAGTATTAGTCTACATTCCCCACGCGCTGCAACATTCTTCTTCTCCTCACAATGTCCCCTCGCCACATAGCCACATAGCACCTCCCCCTCTACGTATGTACATTTGTACATTCCTTACCCCCCGCAGCAACATCTCAGATCAGGGTTGGGATAGATCTTAATCTCTGAGATCTCGCACACTGTCACACTGTGACATTCTCAGCATAACGGCTTCCTTAAGGAGTAGGCTAAGCAATGCCATCGACGTCATTTTACATCGAAGGACCCCGGCATGCATGTATGTCTCCAGGGCAGGCGCCAGGCACTCCGTATGGCTACGAGTCGGGGAAGCATACTAGATGCTATCATGAAGAATGGCATGGATGTACTCCATATAATCTTTCGACTCTTAAAAAGACATGTTTTCTTCTCTGGTTGGGAGAATAAGGCCTGAATCGTGCCAGACATTGGACGATATCATTCATACCATCTATTGTTGGACACAGTCGTGCCTTCCTTTTCAATCCATAGATATCATATCACACTTGCCATTTGGCTCTCCGCACACTGGAAACCCGCGTGCACACATCTGTACATCTCAGAGGTGTCTTGCATAGAATACCATCCTGTAATACCTTCACAGCGTTTACATCCAATAAGCAATGCGGTCATTGCCCACTCTGTCTGCACTTGCTTGGCTCGGAGGTTTCCAAGCCTTACCGGTCGATGCGATACAGACCATCTCCGCCGTTGGCTCCAAGTTCTTCTACGAAGATGGTAGCCAGTACTTTCTGAAGGGTAAGCCTCCCTGGCGAATTGAATTCACAATCTTCCGCTAATTTGGTACAATTTGCGTAGGAATTGCTTATCAACTCATCCCCGAGGATCCCTTGGTTGATACCGAACAGTGCAAGCGCGATTTTGCTCTCATGGCCGAGCTAGGCACTAATGCAATTCGCGTTTACCACGTCGATCCCAAGGCTAATCATGACGGTTGCATGGAGGCGCTTGCGGCCGCAGGAATCTACCTTTTCGTGGATCTAGACACATTCGATACGTCTATCAGCCAGGTCAGAACTCGCGTAGGCCTTAGCTAGGTAGAGCCCATGCTGACTTCTACTTCTAGGACAAACCACAGTGGACGCATTCCCAATTCGATCGATATAAGGCGGTGTTGGACGAATTCCAAAAATATAACAACACCGCCGGCTTATTTATCGGCAACGAGGTAATCAACACTAAGGAAGGCTCGGCCGCCGCTCCGTATGTCCTGGCCGCAGCGCATGATATCAAATCGTACCGCAACGAAAAAGGCTATCGGAACATCCCGGTTGGTTACTCGGCAGCTGATATTGCAGAGCTGCGTCCCATGTTGCAAAACTATCTAGCTTGTCGTCCCGACTCTGCTGACCGATTGGATTTCTTCTCACTCAATGCCTATGAGTGGTGTGGTTCCTCTTCGTACGAGACATCCGGCTACCAGAGACTTCAGAGCCAGGCAAGCGACTACCCGATCCCGATCTTCTTCTCAGAAACAGGCTGCAACGTGGCACGGCCACGGACCTTTGAAGACCAGGCTGCCATTTTCGGCCCTGAGATGTCAAGGACTTGGTCCGGCTCCATTATCTATGAATGGATTCAGGAGGCCAATGACTACGGTCTGATCAAATATGGTCCGCCCTCAGGCGTCTCACCCGCCAAAATGCTTGTACAGGATGGCTTTACCCGCCAAGGAGAACCTATTCCGGTGGACCCCGACTTCCACAACCTGAAAGCGCAATGGGCTAGGTTAAGGCCTACCGGAGTAGCCTTGTCCGACTACATAAAATCCACTTCCACTCTCAGGCCTGCATCTTGCCCCACTTCGACACCAGGTGGATGGGCCGTGGATTCTCACCAACCCCTTCCTACTCTTCAACGAGCTACCTCGGACGTGGCAGATGTCGGCCCAAATCCTGGTTCCGAATCTGGGCCTGATTCGGGATCGCGTCCAGAGCACCTTTCAGCACGTGAGACTTCAGCTGCGCCCTCCGATTATCACTCCCATCGTGCTGTCAATAGTGCCTCCTCGGGAATGAGGGGCGTTGATCGCCTTGCAGGCGGATCCCTCTTCCTCTGCGTGTCGATCGGTGCCTTGGCTCTGTGGCTCTAATGACCATGTTGGACGACTAACGCTAGCGTTGCCTTTTTGTCCTTTCTTTATGATTTCTTGTTTTACCTGGCCCAGATACAGCCCAGTTGTTCCGTGAGACACTGCTGTCAAAAATACCTTTACACTTTGTGGTTTTTAAATTAGCGTCATAGGTGCAGGCTCGCCTGACAGACTGGAATTTACCCCTTTCATCATTTGCAATGGCCTCTGCTCTAGAAAGTTGCGTACCAAGCCTCAATAAATCATATAGCTCAAAGCATTAGTGATACTCTCTACACTGCCTTTAGTCCAAATGCATGTATATGCATGCATAATGTACAAAATCCAAATAGTAATTGGGTCTATTTACTTGTTACATTGAGTTTTGCCCAATAGGGCAAAGAAAAGAAAGATAGAATATACGGTGTAGGGGGTCAGGCAATCGATTTTCTCGGCAGACGCGATTCGGGCTCATTTCTCTCCTTTTCTTTTCTCTCTACGTACCTTCCACTTCCTCGGAAAGAAAAGAAAGGAAAGAAAAACGAGACATGTATTATACGAACTATACTCGGTCTTACTGAGCCCACGTGCTTTGATTCTTGGCTCGCGATGGAATAGACATGTTGTTGTTTGGGATTACTAACTGGTTGTACTGTCTGTACAAATATGTACAAAAACATACAAATGAGAAGCTAGACAATGTTCATACAGAGTTTTATTATTGTAAACATATTCTTTGGGTAATTATTATATGTATATTTCCATTAGATCGAGCCGGAGTGTACCCCATATTCATATTCATCATTGCGCGGAACAGAACATATACCGCCAAAGAGAGCATGACACATAAAACCAGGAGAGGTAGAAATAAAAGTAATAAAAGAAGATAGGATAAGGAATAAATCACTAAAACCACCCGGAACTGCGTATATAGCTAGAAATACAATCAAGAAATCCTGTTTGAAAAAAAAAAAAAGTATGGATTAAGGCGCACTGAATGAAGAAGATAGAGAACAAAGGGAATTAGCACAAAGAAGGAAAGAGTTCGGTAAGGTGAGTCGTGAAGTACATAAGAGAAAGGGGGCGTGAAAAGGCCAAATAAAATAAGAAAGAAAGAGGGAGGGAGAGACTAAGGGAGGTACTGAAAAAGTACAAATTGGAATGGCTAAAAGTGACTGATACCGGGATCAAATAGCTGTCACTCAAACCGCCATTTTGTAATTCCAAGATGGGTCGTACCAGGGGGCAGTATCCGAGCCAGCGTACCCGCTACTCTCTTGGTCTGTATCACTATTCTCAGCATATGTTGCCCTAGAGCCAGAGAGGTTAAAGCCAGCCACGGATGGTGATGAGGATGGAGTAAATGCTATAGACCCCTCTTCATAAATAGGAGAGTTCGTCGCTGCTGTTAAAGGTGAATGTGGTGATGCTGATCTAGAAATTGAGGGAACAGTAAGTCTTGGTGTTGTTGCATGTGGCGCCTCATGCAGCCGATTCTTTGACCTTCGAGTATGAAGCTGCAGATGTGAGGAGCAGTGCATATTAGCTATCCCGCTCACTTGGTGTATTGCCACAGAAAAGTGATGTTCAACTTGATATGCGGAGGGCCGATCGGCGGGCTCTTTATTCAACATATCCCGTACGACAGCGAGCATTGGTCGAACAGCCTGGAACACAGGGTCTTTTTGCTTCTTCGAGTCATGGTCCAGAAGAGTAATCCATGAGGTGACTTGGGTAAGGTTCCGATCCAGATGGAAGGAACAATCGGCAACGCCTCCTCCACGACCGGCGGTTCGATTCTTCGCCCCGCGGTGATGGACAAATGCAGAGATCTTGCGCTTACACAGGTGGGTGAATATATCCAGGATTACTGCCCCGAGAGAGAAAATATCTGAAGCTTCCGGATCAGTTTGATGTGATTCCCATGTGTGGACTACAGCCGCACTGGAATTAGTACCTGGCAAACCGACCGGATTCGTTATTATAGAGGCCCGATTCGAAGAAGACCCTGATGAGCTAGAAGATGTGATAGAGGGCGTGTATAATATAGGCCGTTTGACGGAGGATATGACGCGTTTGCGAGCACTCCCACTGCTGGACCCCGAAGAGGAAGACGACGCAGCAAAGGAAAATCGAGATCCAGGAAAACCAACACGAATCGCAGTGCTTTGAGACATCATGGATTCGGATCTTGGGCTAACAGACTCGTGCTCTGCTCGATGGGGTCCCTTCAGTAATGATAGATTTAGCTTCATTGGACGCGCTGACTGCTTCCGAGCCGTACGCCCACCCGACGGGAGATCAGTTCGTTGTGGACCAGCCTGCTGGACGCTAGCCGAGCGTACCCAGCGTTCTGGAGCACCGTATTGATATGACTCCACATCATCTACCTTGACTGGAGGTAACAATGTATCGAGAGCTTCAAATTGGCCCAGAAAGACTCTATAATCTGTGTCAATGAATATGTTTGAAGGGCGAATGGCGCCATGAACCTGGCCATGTGCATGGAGCCATGAAAGTCCATTTGCAAGACAATGTGGCCAGTTAAGCAAATTTTCTCGGCGTTGGGCTTTGGGGAGACGCTTGAAATACTGGGGAATATCCGTGAGGAAAGACATCAAAGTGCGTTCGTATATGCCTGTGAAAAGGATACACACGGTTTTGTCGACAAAATAAGACCCGTATATCGAATACACATGGTCATGGGCCAGTCGTCTTAATGACTTAATTTCTTCAAGTACCTCATCTTCTTCGAAAAAATGCGGCGCCCCTCCAATTGTAACCTGCGTCCGCAAGTAAACTCGACAGACAGTACCAGCTAAGACAACCTTTTCAACACCCTCCCTCACAAGGGCTGTTCCAGTTCGAAGAAGCTCCACAGGGACGCCTTCATTCTCGGTGTATTTTACGTGTTCGCCTTCATCAATACCTCGAACGAGGAACCGCCATTGGGCAAGGAAGAACCTTGATTCCAAGGAAGAATCCTCATTTTCTGGCGAAAGATGAAGGCGATCGACGCTGTGAGCCGCGATAGGCAGATCCGAGTCATCAAATGACTCATCTACCAAGGTAAAAATGCGATCTGGAATCCCGATATCGACCAAAATGAGGAAAAGTCTCCCCGCCTTAGAGAGAATCCAGTCGAGGTACGTCTCGCTTGTCAGACCCTCTCCCCAGGGCAAAGGCTCCACGAGACGGTGCAGAATGTTGGGCGGCAGATGACTGAAGACATATTCTGAGGATAGTGTAGCTTTGATTCTGTCCTCGGGCCACCAAAGAGACGTTGTGACCGACATTGCGTACATTCATGGCGCATCGGCCGGGACAAACGAGTACCGGGGATTGGGTATAGACACTAATATAAGTAGTTCCAAGGTAAGTTTTTCTTTTTTCTTCGGCCGAAGTCTAGTAAAGCAAATAGCTTTCTCTGTAGACGCCACTAAGCGACTGTCATATAAGAGTTTATGCAATAAATTCGAAAGGGAAAAAAGAACAGAATGGGACATAGATATTGGTTCTTCGTCAGAAGGACGAGATCACCACCAGTAGTGGACACAAGGCTTATCAAGCGCACCGCAAGGGGTATCCGCTGTATTATTGAAAAAAGCCGGTCGATAGTAGTCACTAGGGCATTAGAGTATGACAGAAGAGGGGAACCTTCAACGGACGGGCTCCACGATGGGGTACCCACTGGTACATCAGGATGATCAGATGATGGTCTATGTTTCCATATTCAATGGTCCTTGGAACGGAAGAAATATGAAGGCACAATCATGTTAAAGACACCGGTCTAATAGTGAGGCAACAGCGGTAGCATGAGGCGCGACCGGAGAAGATATCTGTGGTCATGGCTCACGAAACTTCATGAAGGATGGGGAGGTTTGAGACTAAGTGGATATATCAAGTCTTGGGACAGTGGAGATGCCCCATGTCGAAGAGGGACGAGTAAGCAGAGAATACAAGAACGATGGTACTCAGTAGATAGATAGGGCATCGGCATTGAACAATGACTGAAGATAAGCTAATGAACGTTGATGGATCACGGGGTACACCCTAAGCCTCAATTGGTTTGCTCCGAGTCGCTATCGCATGATCAGTAACAATCTTCATTGTGAGCTATCATAAGCCTGAACAATTAATACTATCTATTTTCCCCGAGTATTGATGCTGATGGAGTGCTGCCGTTAGACAATGTGCGTCAAATCAAGCCGCAATCCCATGGAAACCGGGCGCTGATCTGATTGTTGGGTCTAGAAAACCCTCCTGTCAACAGTAGCCAGTTTAGAACCACCAGGCCGGGTTCAAGCTTCCTAATGCAGGTGAGGTCCTTCTTTGGGCAGCCAGTCGTCATCCTTGGATGCAAGCTTATCAGTCGACAGCTTTAGAAAGTTGACTTGCGCTATTAGTCACTGTGAGAGCCAAGAGATAAGCCCGGGCCATAGACCATTCATGCAAATCAATAGGGTTCGACCAACCTTCCCATATGATTCAGTTCCAGAATCTGTCTTGGACTGCGAGAGGACACAGCCTCAGAAGAGATTGTTGATCGCGAAAGCCAAATTTTGGTCCCTTCGCCGCCGTCCGCTCCTCTTATCTTCCACCGCGGTACCCTCCGCCTGTCGACTTAAACTATAGGAAGCATGACATATCTCTTTGACTCCTCTGGTTGACATTTTTAGTGATCAGATCATAGTATACGTCATAGTACGGTAGTTCTCCCGAGTACGGAGTACATCGAAAGGTCATTTTCCCCTACGAATATAAGTGAGTGGACCGAGGATCGATAGATCCATAGAAAGTGGGACATGATTAAATCTACTCTCTCGGGGCATTGTCCATAAATAACTTGTCACTAATTAAATGAATCTCAAAAGATTAGGATTTATTCATTTATTCATTTATTCATTCATTCACACATGGTTATATACCTATATACAATCCATATTGGATATTAGCAGACAAAGGGGGTAGTAACAAGATATTCAAAGCATCGCAGATCAACCACAAGTAATCTTCAGGCGAAAGACAATCAAAAGTCGCATCATACTGAATTTTAGACATTTTTGAGCTTTCCAGTACGTTCTCCAGCAATGACTAGTATTTCTTCCTATTTTCTCACTTTAGTCTTTCTACTTGCCCTCAGTAGAAATCACCAGTATGCCGTTTTCGTAAGCGTCGGACTCTGCTACTAGCCCGATGGGCATTAGCGTCCACCGGTTGCTCCTCAGAGGATCGTCGTCTATTCCAAGCCTTGCGGAAATGTTGTTGCTCATCATCCTGCTGTTTCGCTCGATGGACGAGGAATTCTTCATGGGCTTCTTTTTCTTCCATCAAGGCCTCGATCTATACGATCACCAAAAAAAATTACAAGAATCAGCACCTTATCAATCCATAAAAATGCAGACCAAATCTCTATTGAACCCGAAGCGAAAGAAACTAAGAAAGGCAAAGGGAAAATGAATCTTACATAGGATAGCCACAACTCTTGCTCCGAACTCCACGCTTTCTGACACCTCCCCAGCTCGCTCCGTGCAACAGCCAATTCGCGCTCTTGCTCTGCTGTCCACCGGCATTTGTCGCAGACAATGCTGGCCCAGCTTACAACCCGTACCAATCGAGATCGGCTGCCGCTGCTGTTGCTGCTGCAGCCATGATGCAGGTCCAACTCGCTTGCGTTCACCGCCATCTCGAACCCGGTTGATTGGGAGTCATCATTGTGGCAATGCACTGTGACTTCAACAGACGGGGAATTGTCGATCCCTTTACCCTTCCAGATGGAACGTTCTGGACGTTTGGTCAGGTAGGGGAGGTGGAAGATGTATCGAACGGTGCTGGCCACTCTCATGTTGGTATGTATGTATAAAAGTCTTCGGATTATGACTCGAAACTCCTGCAAAGAAACGACAAACTGAGTAAGTTGGTTTCTTGGACTGGCCCGCTTTCTCTTTCAGGGATATTTGTCCTGTTTATATGTATGAGCATGTACTTTTTGCTCGGAATGGCTTCGAATACAGGTCACTACGCTGGGCCATTCACAACTTGGATACAGCCTAATACGGCATAGATCACAGGTTAGGCTTCAGGAAACAAGGACATTAGGCTCTAGATGGGCCTATTTCTGACGTCGACAGTCCTGTTTGGCTGGTGACCACTGCCCGCAGTTTGGTCAAAACTACAACGGGACTGTTCGTCCCAAGAGTGGAGAGAGATGGGGGAAAAATCGGAACAAATCGCCAAGCCATCATGTTTCATGCGCTGCAAAATAAGAAACCACATCCTTGGGTAGGGAACGTGGCGATCAAACTTTGCCTAGGTGAGGGGGGCCTGGTTTGGTGTTGAGCAAATCATCATGGTCCAGTCTCCCGAAATTGGATCACTCATATGTACCATTTGCCAGCAAAATATACACCATACAGATGTTCAAACGTGGTTTTTCATCTTTGCCGTGCGATTCTCCATCTACTATACCTAGTGCCTAGCACGCAAATCTCCAAAGTAAACTTGGCCAGCCAAAAGAAACAAAAAGAAGTAGCATGAGAGTCAATAAGGACCTCTAGAGGACTATAGGCCGGACAAGAAGAAAGAGATACAAGCCGTACAGGTTTCATGAACTAATCATGCGATCGCAGTCCAGGAAAGGACATGGATCCCAGCACAAGGTTGGACTTGCTTCAAGCAGCTGACTCTTGAAGACCAACTAAAACACACTTATAGACAAAAGAAACTTAGGGGGAATCTTACATAAACAACCTTAGCCAAATGCCATCGCAAAAAAAAAAAAAAGAGAAAAAAAAAAAAAAAAAAAAAAAAAAAAAAAAAAAAAAAAAAAAAAAAAAAAAAAAAAAAAAAAAAAAAAAAAAAAAAAAAAAACAAAGAAGCCAAAATCAAATGCGAGCCAGTAATTCTAGACACAGTATCCACCCATTGGCTCGCCAACCCGTGAAGTTCCGAAAATATTCTCCAAGTAACACCCAAGAAACGAGGCTGAATTCGTTAAACAAAAGCAAAGCCCATCGTTACCAAACTGCACACTGGGTCCGGGAAAAGAAACCAAAAAAAAAAGCGTTGATTTGGGCAGTCATCAGTACCATGAACTGGTAGGGGCACGCCTGCTTCTCGAATGCCCCGCTGTTGACTGTTCGTCGTGCAATCGTGCTTTCATCTCTTCCCGAATCTGTTCGCCAATGATCACGCTGATCAGTCTTCTATGCAAGTCGGCTTCCGTCCAGCCAACTTGGCCTGTTCCACCGGCCTGTAGGTCGGCCTTGGCCAACTCCTGCACGAACCTGTCAATAATGGCAAACTGACGCTCCGTGATGGGGACCCCATGTAAACCGTCTGATGTCCATATCCAATCCCCAATGATATCCGATCGCCCTGGACCTGGGTAGTAAAGGAAACGTTCTGGATGTCTTTTTGCCAAACGGTAAAGACGACGAAGGAGGATGTAGTGATCGTCAGAGAAATATCCAGAGACAGCCAACGGCAAAGGACGATCATACGTATCGTCTTTTGCTGCTACATTTGGCGACTTGTCGTCTAACGGACTAGAAAAGCTCTGTTGTTGTTCATGGTCCCGATGCGGCTGTGGCGCTTCCTCCATATAGTTTTCTTCCACGTTGTTCGAGGGAGACCCAGCATCATCTTCGTCCTCCGAAGCCTCGTCATGTACAGATAGAGCAGGCTCCTCAGTTAGTTTTCTATTGGGTACTTTCAACCATCCAGGCGTAAGATTAGTAATCTTTCGAAACCAGGATGATGCTTGTTTTCCGGTACTGGGGGGCTGCGGGCGTTCGGGGGTGAGGGCAGGTGTCTCGTGGGCGGTCTGTGGTTCAGGTGAAACTGCATCTGAAAGATTCTCGCCACCATACCCTTCGAGCCACAAATCCGAGTGTTGTCTTGCATTTTCGAAATTCGTAGTTGGATCCAGCTGGAATGTCTCTTCCCCTGGGGCTCTCTGGGGGCTTGACTCCAGATAACTCTCTGACTGCGGAGGTTCTTCAAGTAAGTGATCCTCCTCATCCTGCATCACTCCCTGCACCTCTTCTTCCTCGTATTCATCCTCCTTTGCCTCCTCGCTTTGGGATACCGCGGTTGACTGTGGCTGCTCGGGATCTCGCCCGTTTTCTGTACTTGGGGGGCTGCTTTGCCCGTAGTAGTAATGCGAGCGTTTGGGGGTCGCCCCAGGGCGCAACAATGTGGAAATATCAACATCCTGTTCTCGTAGGTCTTTGATTCGCGACTTGCCCAGAAATGGCACCTTGTCGTGAGCATTGGTCCAGTAGGCTGGAGAATAAGAATTACCAATAGCACTCCGTTCAGATATCGAGCTATGTGTTTGAGGACTAGACTCCTGCCTGTTATCGTCCAGGCTTTGATGATGATACGAAACAGACGAGTGGTCCGAAAGATCGCCTCTATCATTAGCTTCTTGCTGCCAAATATCTTCATATCCGTCATCTTCGTCTTCCTCCTCTTGCTCACTAAAGTGATCATCTTCGGGTCCGTCATGCACTAACAGTGCATCTGCGTCTCCGCCGTCGATATCAGAGCCCCAGTCACGCTCTTCATCAGCTTCGGGAGCAGCCATGCCACCCTCAGGGCTCGGAGGGCCACTCGCATCACTATCAATAACAATGACTTGACTTGAGTTGGCCATCTGAATTTCGCGGCTAATAGCTTCCCTCTCCCGTTGCCATTCTTCCATCCGGCGCCTCATCTCTGAGCCTGGTGTATCGTAGTCCCTTAATTCATCAGGTTCCCGCGACGGTTCCCATGACCCACTTATTTCACTCAGTCCTTTTGGCGTGGGTTCTGCAATCGTTTCCATCTTGGGGACTTTGCTTGCATTTTCGATCTCTGCCTGTAGTCGCCTCTTCGCGAGCTCTTGACCAAAGTTCAAGGCCGACTGTAAGTCACGTTGTATCTCAGTATCGAAATCGCTGAAGAGCAGCTCCAGTCGTTTCCTAGATGTCTCCAGGCTGGACATCTGATTTTGCGACTCGCGTGTCTCAGGACTTGACAGAAGACCTCTGGGATATCGTCTGTCATAAGGACGCCTTAAAGCGCTCTCGAGAGCAATGCCCGCACGGACCAACCTCACGAACCTGGCTATTGGTCGTCGCTGTCGCTTAGGAGAGGTTTGAACCGGAACAAAAGCTGGAGAAGTGGGGGGTGAATATGCCCTAGCAGACCTGTAGTCCACAGTAGTCTTCTCTTGCGCCAGGGCCGATGGTTCAGGTTGTGTTTCTAGACCGGCATCTTCTTCATTGGCCTGATTCCGGATCGAGGATTTCCGTCTCAAGACACCGTTGCTTTCCCGCTCCAGAAACGGCTTCAAAGCGCCCTTTGCCACTTGAGAGCTGGTGCTAAGTCCATGTTGCTTAGCCGACGGTAGTGTATCCAGTGAAACCATGCTAAACCCTTCACTCTCCATTATAGAATCGAATTCTCTATGTTCATCTGTAGGGTCGTTTGTAGTAAGAACTTCGCTTTGGCGGAAGCGATTACGCGAGACGGAGTTTTGCGCCCCTCGGTCTTGTCTTTCCTCATCGACTAATGATGAAGACGTTGGTGTAGGGTAGAGACGAGGCGGTCTAGGTGTACGACCAGCGTATATGGTGTTATCTGGAGAGATAATCTGGCTCTCCCGAGATGGGGAAGGCATCTTTGATGGTGTTGAATGTACATTCTCGTCATTCTGCATATAAACATCGTCCATATAATCGACATTCGGCGTATCGTAAGTACGCTCATATTCAACCCGAGCACTCTGATTCTGAGGGCTATCATCAAATGGCTCCATCCGAACGTCACCCTCAAAAGGTTCTGCATAGCCTTGATCATCCGGCAAGCCATCGTCAGATTCGCCATCTGCAGCAAGGTTCAGGGGAGCCCAACTTGGCTCGGGCTCGACAACAGACGGCTCATCTATCTGACTGTTTGCCACCTGATTGGCAACCTTGTCTACCGCATCCGGCTCCGGAAGATATTTCCTTGGTCTACCTCGCTTCCTCTTTTGCGCGCTTGCGCCTCCCGGACCAGGAGTATGACCAGGACTCCCCCCATCCGGTGTCGCACTCTGAACCGTTGTATCTGACTTCCTCGGGCGTCCGCGGCGTTTTCTGGGAGTCTGCTCCATGGTGTCTGCTTCATCCTTCAGTGGTACTTTGGTTGTCATGGTAGAATTCCGGGGGCGTTTGCGCGAAGGGCTGCCTTGGTTCATTTCCTCGTCTTGTGTTGCTTCCAATGTCACTCGAATCCTCCACGGACTCACGTTCCCGTCGGGCTGCACGTTTTCAGGGGAGAGGGACCTTTGCCGACCGTTTAATTTCCTTGACGGAGACCCAGGGAGCACCACATCATCGAAGCGGATAGAATGCGAGCTTTTGGTAGGGCTCAGGCTAATGCGCGACCTTCTGCTTTTGGCGAAGCGCGGCGTTTGAAGGAGTTTGAAATTTGCAGGCGACATGACGCTCTGGCGCCCGGAGAAAGGTTTGAACGGGGAGGAAACCAAATACTCGCTGTCGCCAGGTGGCCCAAGAATGTCCGGAGAAGAGCTCGAGCTGCGGAAGGACATAACGACATGCAATACGCGATACGATCATGGGATGTCTCTCGATCCCAGTCGCGTTTGATCAGGTAGGGACAGGTTAAGGGATCTCTAGGAAACGTTGCACCTATACAAAATCTTCCATCATTTTAGTAGCAGGGCTACCTGCAAGAGGCCTGGACTTCTGTAGAAATGATGATGATAAGCCGATAATCGCGGGGAAGCAGAGCAACCGCAGAGCATAACATAAACAAGTCTCCCGATCAGGCAGGCCGAGGGTCCGGCCCGATTTGCTTTTGCCGCTGAAGGTTGAGGGGCGCGCTTGGATTATGTAAAGCGGATAAATGTTGTTCCATGTCGATAGTCAGGTTACAGGATGGTGAAGGAGCCCAAGGTGCAGGCTTACCTCCTAGACTCTGCGTCATCGTGTAAACTCTTGCGAATGCGATGCGAAATACTGTAGTACTTACATTATCATGATACAATGTTGGTAAATAAATGTGTAACGTGCGGTAATCTCTGGATGGCACCCAGCCATGCTACATGCATAACCACTAGGTAGCCATTATCACCCACGCGGTAGTTTCTTTGGTAGCTTGGGTCCTTGGCGGGAAGAGTTAAGAGGAGCGATCGACAGGCCGCTTGCCTTCCCCGCATCCTCTTAATTTGTCCCCCCACCGGAAATTTCTTGTTTAGGACTAGCTCAGTTGCCTCATTCCCGTGGCTTCATGGGTCACCCCCTGGGTGGACGCACTGCAGTTGAATGCCTTCCCGCGTCTTTTTCGGTCCCTCATCATTACTACCTAGTAGTATTCACTACGGCAGTAAGAGACTGAGCACTAGACCACCAGGTGTGCCACATACCTGGTACTACATTTTTACCTGTCGTCAGTGAATACACCAACTATTATCGCAATTGACTCATCGAGGTCACGGATCATCAATCAAGTGGTGGACGGACTCATACTTCTACAGCCCGCCATACTGAATCCGTCGACGGCGCAGAGCTTGTTGGCAGTTACGCGATCTAATGCACTAGCATTGACCCTGCCCAACTAACGCATCCGTGGATTTGCCTCCTATAATTTGTTCGGATAATTACAAACAATCCAATCCAACCAACAGCTCGGGGAAATTTAATTTTACCCCAGTCCCGCTATTGCTGTGCTTTGGTACCCCCGCCCGCTGGTCAGGCGGCATCATGAGGTAGGAACAGGATAAATAGTAGTATGATTCACTCCTTTAAATCTTACCAGGGATTCTCCCAGCTCCTTGGCTCCTTGCTCTGCCCTGCTCGGGTCACCATTCGTCTCCTGTCGGTATATTGCTTCATCTTCCTAGCTATTACCACGCTTTTGGGAATCAGAATGCATCTTAAATCATATTTGTCTGCTGCCCTTTATGGGCTACCGGCGCTGGCTCTACCATCGTCTACTTCCAATTCGTCTGCTGTAGATCCATTCAAAGTCTACACTATCACTGCGGAGAATATTACCGCCAAGTTGATTCCATACGGAGCGCGTCTGACTTCTCTGCTCGTGCCTGACCGCGATGGCAACGAACAAGATGTAGTCGTGGGCTATGATGACCCTAAGGATTATGTGAAAGACACCGAGACCGACCACACATTCTTCGGCGCTGTTGTTGGCCGTTATGCCAACCGCATCAAAAATGGCACCTTCCAAATAGATGGAGACAAGTACGAAATTCCTAAGAGCGAAAACAACGGCACCGACACATTGCATGGAGGCGATGTCGGTTATGATCAGCGCAACTGGACTGTCACTGCTCAATCTGATTCCTCCATCACATTTACTCTGCTCGACCGCGCACTGGAGGGCTTCCCTGGAGATGTCATCACTCACGCCGTGTATAGCGTTGATTCCGATGTCACTGCCGAGAACCCCAAGGGTCTGCCACAGTTGACCACTAAGTTAATCTCTTTGGCCCTGACGGAGAAGACTCCAATCATGACTGCCAACCATATCTACTGGAACCTCAATGCGTTCAAGGAGACCAATGTCCTGGATGACACCTTCCTCCAACTACCGCTGTCCAAGCGACTCATTGGTACGGACGGCATCCTGATTCCCAACGGAACCATCCTAAGTGTCGACTCGTACGATGGCGCACCAGACTTCACCACTGGAAAGCTTGTGGGCAAGGACATCAAGAAAGCCGAAGGGCTGTGTGGAACGGACTGCACGGGCTATGACAACTGCTTCATTGTGGATCGAGACAACGCATATGGCCCTGCCAATTCTATGGTTCCAGTTGTCCGTATGAACTCCAGCACAACAGGAATCAGTATGGAAGTAGCTTCAAACCAACAGGCTGTTCAGATCTACTCCTGCGTTGGCCAGAAGGGTAACATTGCCATCAAGCCGTCCCAGGCCAAGCGGAACAAGGAAGAAGGTATCGAGGGTGCAACGAGCGTCAACCAGTATGGCTGCATCGTTATCGAGACCGAAGGTTGGATTGATGGAATCAATAACCCCGAGTGGGGTCAGCTGTCAGACCAAATCTATTCCCCCACCGGAGCCCCAGCTGTCAACTGGGCTACGTATAAGTTTGGCACTGTCTGAAGTAGCCACGCCGCGATTCTGATTATCTAATGTTTTGATGGCTCCATTTTTGGACGGTTGTCAACCTCATCGTGTTGTATGTACATTTTACTACTGTCGGGTAAATAATGTGATCGATAATTAGTAGAAGCAAAAGGCATCGTAGACCCTAGTATTTAATGCTCTAGAACCGTAATATTAATTGTAAATGAAATGCTGAGTTTCAGGGTATCGTGTCTAAGTCCAGTCATTTAGATGAATTCATGAAAATGGAACAGCAAGTGAACAATATGCTACCAGCTGAATCGCAACGAATTTTCAACGCCATACAGCCCAATGCACACTTCCTTCAGTAGTGCATTTTCATCCCCATCCTGCCAGTGTCCAGCTCGACCGGTCTCCGCCAGATCGAAGCCCTGACCGTCGATCAGGGGCATGGCCATGAGTATCCAAGTCTCGACTAGCACCAGCAAGGCCATGTTGAAGAAACTTCTCTCGCTCAATCTCTACCAGTGGTCTTATCTTCAGGCTCGCCACAAGACTAGCTCCAGCCCAGGGTCCAAGAGATTCGACTTCGCGCAGAATTCCTTGAACTGGTGGCTTGGTATCCTTATCTCTAGTACGGCGGAGCTTCTCCTCAACTGGATCAATCTCGTCTTCTTCACTATCTCGTTTTTCTTGTTCGCTCTTCCCAACAGAGGTTTCGGGCGACGGTAGTGCGGTGTTCTCTTCGTTGTTGACCGAGGTTGGGCGCTCATTGAGACGCAAGTTTTGTAGCTTTTGTCTTTGTTGCTCAATAACTTTGCCACGTACAGGACTCCAGCCGTGTTGATCAATAAGAAACGCTACTTCAGCAAGGACTCGCTGGCGGACACCCGGGATATTGGCTCCTCCACCAACGAACACTATTCGTGACATGCAGATGCCACGGACATCGGGAGGTAATTGTAGGAGTGCGTTGTAAGCCAACAAAGCAACCGACTTTTCTTCGTCATCCAAGTCACAATCCGCTACACCTTCAGCAAATAGGACTTTCTCCACCGGCTCTGCCAGTTTAGAGAAAGGAATCTCCAAGTAGTTCGAGCTGGGGTTCGATGGAGATGGGATTAACACGGTTTTTTGCAAAAGGCCGGCGATGTCTTCTACCTTCGACTCACTGTCTCTCCCTTGGGAGTCAGTCAATTGTGACGAAGCAAATAATCCGTGATCACCTGCCTGGGGCTTACACCACAGGAACCGGCTAACAACTTCTTCACAGAATTCAAAGTCCACGGAGATGTCGTCTGCATCCCCGCTACTGTTTGAGGACAGGCGAGTAAGAAACCTGCCTGTCTCCTGAAGCAGTGACTTCATAGCCCTTGTACTCCGCTTGGTGGCGATTTCTCTGTATTCATAGATCCCAGTTACCGTTGTTTCCGCCCATCCAAGGTCTACCACCAACGCCGAACGCAATCCAGCTGCAGCCACCGCCATTGTGGGGCTCGGAAGGAGCGTGATACTAGGAAAGCGCCACCGACTGAATAGCGTCGACAAGACGGAAGATAGTAGTGGGTGTGGCATAATAGACGGGAGAACGAGTACCAATCTCGCTGTTCCCGCATCCGTCAACAAGTATTTATTGTATGTCTCTCGGAACATCCTCTCGATTTTGTCCTCAACAAGTCCCAAGTCGACATCACGCACGTCCATCTTCCATAATTCATATGCGCCCGTCCACTCTTCCGCCTTTACTGATTGTGAGCGTAATGTATCCGCGTTCAGGCTACCTCTCAGCCATCCTCTGTAATCGCCGGCCCTCCTTGAGTCTTCCGGTCCACACCCGACCACACACGTAGGTGTGCTGTCACCCTCAAATCCAGCCCGAAGCCATCTGCACCCAAATTCAAAGACTATCGCATCCTCTTCTCCGCGCAAAGAAGAGCTTGCCGATGATGTGCTTGCGAAGGAGGAATTATTAGAACGCAGGTGATGTTGAGGCGTAGAAGGTCTGCCTGATTGGCTGTGTCGCAAGCTCATGGAGGCGCTTGTGCGCCTGTCGTCAAGATTGTGAGCCGTAGAACCGCTCGTCATTTCTTCGTAGTCTATACTGTGGTGTTTGCGTTCACTTCAGATTGCGGGGGGAGGAGAATCGGGGGTGGAGAATCGGTCGGTAGGTGCGAATCATGCTTTAATTTTCCAGGTTCGAAGATTTCAATTCATTGTTGAACTCTCAGAAGCAAATCAAGAGATCGTCCTAATCTTACTCCGCAGGAAACCCAAACTGTCAAGAGTAAAGATACGGAAAGTGCAACGGCCACCGCGGCTTTAATGAGGACGGATCTACATCGGACCGTCGCGTGCTCCCCGACGTCAACAAACAACAACTCTCATAGTTACAGTATACGAAATTCTCCACGTATATACTGCCGAGAATATTTACATATTGGGTGTTTTGGTGTTTTTACTTGGTAATTTTTGATCTCGGTCTTAATGGGGATTCCTGGGTAAGTGAACTTATAGCTTCAGTCAAGCCAGGCAGAGAAACTATTCAAAATATATATCTTTTCCCAACGGCTTTCCTTGCAAGTCTAAAACTTGAGCATTAGCTAACACAAACTAGACTCATCAATGCAATTGGGCCTGGAGAGCGCATATCCCTGTCAAAACTGGCAGTAACCCACCTAGAGCGAACATCAAGGCCTATTCGTGTTGCAGTAGACATTTCAATATGGCTATTCCAGGTGCAGGCAGGTCGCGGCGGCAAAAACCCGGAGCTACGGACTTTGTTCTACAGGTTGCTAAAATTTTTAGCCCTACCTGTTCACCCCCTGTTTGTTTACGACGGGAAACACAAGCCGCCCTTTAAAAGAGGAAAAGCCACGGGGAGTAGTTACGGAAGTGCACCCATCATTGGACTTTCCAAGATCATGGTCGATCTGTTCAGGTTTCCTCGTCATGATGCGCCGGGGGAGGCAGAAGCAGAGTGCGCCAGACTCCAGAGGGCAGGCATCGTCGATGCGGTGATGAGCAATGATGTTGATGCTCTCATGTTTGGATCAACGTTGACCATTATGAATTTCTCCAAGGAAAGTGGAAGTGGCACGTCTGCTGCAACGCACGTTACTTGTTATGAAGTGGGAAACCTTAGCTCATCTTCATGCTCAAGGCTTGATCGTGCTGGCATGATCTTGTTTGCTATGTTAAGCGGAGGAGATTACCTTCCTTCTGGAGTCCCGAAGTGTGGTAGCAAGCTCGCTGCAGAAATTGCAAGAGCGGGCTTTGGCGAGGACCTTTTGGAAGTGCTCGACTCGGAAGAAACTGAGCTCAATATGAAGCTGAACGACTGGAGAGAAAGGCTCCAGTATGAGCTTGATGCGAATGAAAGTGGTTATTTTCAGACCAAACACAAAGCTGTTCGAATTCCGGAAAGCTTCCCAGACAGGACAATACTGTCATATTATGCCAGACCTGTAGTATCAACTTCAAAGGATCTCGAAGTTTTACAACACCGCTTAGAGAATGCCTGGGATCGGGAAATTGATGCTTTGGAACTAAGAAGATTTGCTGCGGATACTTTCGAGTGGAACTATCGCTCTGGGGCAAGGAAAATTATAAGGTTACTTGCCGAACCTCTCGTTTCTTACCGGCTTCGTCTCCAGAAGGACTTGTCAGCGTTTCCTTTCAGGTTATCTGAAAGCGATGTGCCAATGCTCAAGAAAGTTTATAAGAGCAGGACGAGTTTCAGCACAGATGGGTTAACAGAGCTGCAGCTTGATTTTGTCCCTATTGATATTGTTGGCTTAGATCTGCTCGCTGAAGAACCTAACCCTCCACTTCCTCCGCAAGAAACGGCGGTTTCGGGCGATGAGGAGGAGGACGCAGAAGTTAATATTGAGCCTACCCCGCAGTCACCAGCCAGGAAACGTGTCACGAAGCGATTTGATCCTTATTCCTCAGAGAAAATTTGGGTGTTTGAAACGTTGGCTACAATAGGAATTCCAGAAGTTGTGCAAGCTTGGAAGCAGGAAGAGTCTGAGAAGGCCTCTGCGCCTAAAAAGTCAAGTAATAGGAAAAAAGGGCCAAAGAAGAAGGGGCCTATAGATCCAGGCATGAAGAGAGGGAGTATCCTGAAATATGGCACTCTCACCAAAGAAAAATCTGAGATCACGCAACACAAACAGGCGCAGCTCTTCGAAGCAGCATTATCATCGAGGTCAACACCGAAGAAGCACAATGCATCGAATGTGCAAGGTTCCCAGAGTGCTTCCAGAGAATTGTCTAGCCATGGCCTGTACTACCACCAGCCAACAGCCGCTTTCGATCGAAGCCAAGATTTTGATCATTTAACTGATATGTTGTCTTTATGCAATATATCGCCTAATGTGGGCATCAAACGACATCCGGTGAATACTCGGCCTCCTCTCAGAGGTAGACGTGGGGCTGTCCTCTCGGGCGATTCTGAGGTAGAGGCTTTGGAGGTTTCAGGTACGGAGTCTTTGGACTGCTCTCTATCTTCTTTGTCTCCGGGAAGAATCCGCATGAGCTATTCCAATGTTAGCTATAATGACCTGAGCATAACAGACAGTACGGATTATGCTCCCTCTATACATGCGAAGTACCGCAACAGGCCAAAGCCCGATCAAAGTATATCCAGATCTCACGGCTCTCAAGGGGCCCAGAAACTGGAGCAAGCCATGTCCTCGTTGCTTTTGGACGATAGTAAACCACATAGATCTGTCAAAGAACGGTCACACTCACCGAATATTGCCATCCCAGCTGCTAAGCATCATCTGAACAAGCCAGAGGCTAGAAACCCACATTGTGATTGGACTATCCCTAAACTTCGACCGGATGATACCCCAATAGATTTGGAAGAAGTTAGTCCGCCTAGTGTTCAGGATATTTTACAGAAAGTGGCTTTTGGAAAGCGTGAAATGCAAAGGAAAACTAGCGTGGGGACTCTTGCCACACCACCAGAGCCATTCAAGAAGGACGCTTCGGAGCCTACAAAGGTGGAAACAAAGGCAGACGATCTAAGGGAAACGAAGAACGATGCCAACAAACCCAGTTCCCATGCAGAATCTGTCGTAGTGTGCGATGGGCACTGGACATTAGAGCCTACTCCAGAGGCTGGGATGGCGCCGGATGAATCAAAATCTGAAGTCGACAGCAATACCACGAATGAGAGTTCAAAGAGCCGCAGAGGCAAGAAACGATTCCCGCGGGTGAGCATACTGGACCTTAGTTGAATCGACATTTCTAGATTGTTTGCGTGCTTTGGACTCATGGAGTTTTATTCCCTTGTCCTTCCGTTCTTGAGCGTTCTAAACACGGGATTGGTATCTAATACTCAGGCGTTGGTGGAACTAGGGCTTCTGGCTTGTCAAAGCACCATTCTCTTCTTTCACCTATTCAATATTAAGCACTACATGATCCTTGTGATATCTAGCTAGATTAAGTACATACACGGATACATAATCATATCGAGATAAACAATAGAAATGATCCTCGAATCGGAACATGACACCCAGACCCGCAGTCCGACTAGAAACCCACGGAGCCATCGAATTCTCTAATCACAGGTAGTTCTCTTCTATTTATAAAGCAAATCAGAGGATCTTCGTCGGTGTTTGGTAGAATAAGAGGTGCTGACGCTAGCTTCCAGTGGTATAATAAGAAGAGTGGAAAGAAGACAGGTAAAAAGAAGAAGTAAAAGCAGACAAGAAAGATGAGTATAGACAAATGGACTCGTTCAAAAGAAGGATTCGCAGTGCGAAACAAAAAAGGTATCACCGTTTCGCTGTCCATCGGATTCTAGATCCCTAGTTGATACAAGATAAGGTATGAAATGTAGAAAAGAAAGAGAAACCAAGACAAACGCCGGAGATGGTATTCTTCAAATATTCAACCAAAGACCTTTAAAAAGCCCCATAAACCTATTCCACTCAAGATGGGAATGGTGAAATTATCATCCCAGCCGAAAAGGTCCACGAACTCGCTGCCAGCTGCTACCAGGCCGGAGACAACGCTCATAACTCCGAGCGCCAGAGGGCCCGAGATAACAGTGTCCGTTGTCCAGCCGATAAGATTTTTGACTGTGTCTGGGATGAGGTTGAGACGGCCGGTGAACATGAATGCGTCTTCTGGGTCGGTGGGGAAAGGACCGACGTTGGGTACGAAGAGGCCCCAGAAGGCAGCGGCAGTAACTACTCCAACGAGCCACGCGCTCAAAGTTCCAGCAAAGCTCTTCCCTTTGCGCAGCTGGAACGTGTGTCGGCCGTAGAGACGACCGAAGGTGGAAGCTGCGGTGTCGCACCAACTTAGGAGCAGTACGCCCATGACTCCTACATCCTTGGGGAAAAAGCGCAAGACCGCGTATGCGCCGAGCAAATACCAGATCACACCATTGTACCCTTTCACTTCGGTTTCCCGCATGAGCGCTCCGACGCAGCGAATGTAAAGCTTATTGATTGTCTCTGAGCGGTGACGAACAAAGTCCACTGCTGCTATTGGTACTAGGGCCCCGAACAACCAAGGAGTGATTTGGGTTGTTTGAATACCACGGCTGTACAAATGAAGAGTGAAGAAGCCGATTGACACGTGGAGGACCTTGCGCGGTATTTCGTGCCGATGGATAAAGTTGCGATAGCGTGTATGAAGAGGAATAAGCCCCATAGGGGAGGGGGATCGGGAGATACTATGCGCGATGCCGTCAGCCTTCGCAAGCGGCGATAAGAAACCATTGGTTTTCGCTCCGCCGTTTGTCTGTGGTTCAGGGCTTTTTGCAGGCTGCATCGGGTTGGATTTCCGCTTCCTTTGTCTAGTTGATCCTGAGGGACCAGTCGGACTTCCAGAACGAGTTCGCGAGCGCCCTGATCCCGACTCCCGCTCATTATTGCTTTCCTCCGATACATCTACTAGTCGCTGTCGTCGCGCTGCAGAGCGAGTTGTGGGGGCAGAATATCCGTCCCTGGATCGCGACCTGCTTTCTGAAGGAGTAGGCGAAGGCGAAGTGACTCGAGGAGTCTCCGGGATCGCATCATGGGAAGACATATTGTCCGCTCGTAGGGCAAACGGCGGAAGAATCGGAGATTGAATTAACCCAGAGAATGGTCGCTGAGTTTGGAAGGGATGATTGCAGGCAAAAATGCCGGGGAGGAAGAAACAGTCTGCTTCTAACGACGTAATGGTGGGCGATTATATACGCAAAAGTGAAAGCTGAATTATTGATATCGAGTGATGCGCAAAAGAATGACACTGCCACACATAACGTTATGGGCTCAGCCAAAGATCGACACAACCAAGGAACCACAAAAGGACAAGTATGACGGAGTATCCGAGGGGTATCAGCCTGCTGCCGACAGCCTACCACTGAATTTTTCTGGCTTATTGTCGTATCGACAGAAATAATTCGCCGAACCTTCCGCCAAATCCGTATAGTGTCACGTGCAATCGGGCAGAAACACTGACCGCCCGCGATATCTAATCAGTAACTGATAAGGCCTTTTTTCTAGATTTTTTTTTAGTATGTATGGATGGGCGACGGAAGTTCCATCATTCCAATAATTTGTCGAGGGTAGGCTCGTAAGGGAGTCAATTTCTTCGCCAGGCTGCCAAAATGGCCCCAAAACCGCCAGCTGGTACATCTTCTAGAGCCTGGGATGGTGTCTCACCTTCCCTGTCGGAATGGGTGCTGGAAGCCGTTTCGTCTATGGGCTTCACGCGGATGACGCCCGTGCAAGCGTCCGCTATTCCTCTCTTCATGGCCCATAAAGATGTTGTAGTCGAGGCCGTTACTGGAAGTGGCAAGACCTTATCATTTTTAATTCCCATCGTGGAGAAACTTCTACGTCTTGAAGAACCTATCAAAAAACATCACGTTGGCGCGATCATTATTTCCCCGACGAGGTAGCTATAGTCTTTGCTTAGAAAAGAAAAGTACAAGTACACTGACTGCAAGTGCAGGGAACTTGCATCACAGATCTACCATGTGCTACTCTCATTACTCGCATTCCATCCTCCGTCTGCCTCCGTCATTAACCCTTTAGAAGACGATGACGTGCCCCGGCAAAAATTCCCATCCTCTACCCTCAAGGTTGTTCCACAGCTCCTTCTCGGAGGATCTACTACACCAGCAGAAGACTTAAGCAAATTTTTGAAGCAATCGCCAAACCTGCTCGTCTCTACGCCTGGACGTTTGTTGGAGCTACTCTCTTCACCTCATGTCCACTGCCCTCAATCTTCGTTCGAGATGCTCGTCTTGGACGAGGCAGACAGACTTCTGGATCTTGGATTCAAGGAAACCCTGCAGAGCATTATACGTCGGTTACCCAAACAAAGGCGAACGGGATTGTTCAGCGCAAGTATCAGCGAAGCCGTTGATCAGATTGTGCGGGTTGGTCTGCGCAATCCTGTCAAGGTCATGGTCAAGGTCAAAGGAACTTCAGGTGCCCAGGACAAGCGAACACCTGCAAGCTTACAAATGACATACCTTACGACACCTACGATTCACAAATTCCCCGCCTTGAAGCATATTCTCCATTCCGTTGATCCAACTCCTCAGAAGACGATATTTTTTGCCTCAACTTGCTCAGGAGTTGATTATCTCTCTGCGATCTTACCATTGATACTTGGTGACGATTTCCAGCTGATTCCACTACATGGAAAGCACCAGGCGAACGTCCGTGAAAAGAACTTTAACCGATTCGTGAATTCATACAGCCCAGCAATTCTGCTAACAACGGATGTCGCTTCTCGTGGCTTGGATATTCCATCTGTTGACCTCGTTGTTCAGATAGATCCTCCATCGGATCCTAAAACGTTCATTCATAGATGCGGCCGTGCTGGCAGAGCCGGCCGAAGGGGTTTAAGTGTAGTCTTGTTGCATCCAGGACGAGAAGAAGACTATGTATCTTTCCTTGAAGTCCGTAAGACCCCAGTGGCTCCTTTCCCGCATCCCATCTCCCTCTCGGATTCTGAAGCCACTGCAGCTACGAATGCGGCCCGCAAAGCTGTGCTGGCAGACCGTGCACTCCACGATCGTGGCCAAAAGGCTTTTGTCAGTTGGTTAAGGAGTTACAGCAAACATCAGGCAAGCAGCATTTTCCGTGTCGCCGATCTTGACTGGGAGGGTTTAGGGAAGGCATGGGGTCTGCTGAAGCTACCCAAAATGCCCGAGTTGAGGAACTTTACTGGTGACCGGACCCTCGGTGTCAATCTCGATTGGGACGACTATAAATACAAAGACAAACAACGAGAGAAGCGCCGCATAGAATTGCTCCGGGAGAGCAAAGAAGCCGACGGCACACAAGTATCCTCTAATAAGAGAAAGGCCAACGAGACCACCGCATGGAGCAATAAGCTTGAGGACAGAAACAAAAAGCAAAAGCGACGAGAGCAGAAGCAACGTCGACAGGAGAAGAATAAGTGGGAGAAGATGACCGAAGAAGAGCGGCAGAAGGTGCGGGAGACGGAGCAAATGGTGGAAAATATCAGAGCCAAGAACGAAGAAGAGAGACGACTTAGACGCGCAGGAAAGACCGAGGAAGCAGTTTCTGGAAAGGATGAAGAAGAATTTGAAGGGTTTGATTAAGAAAAGTTACGGAGATACCTCTTTGTTTGCTTTAAAGATGTATGACACCCGAATCTATAACTCATAGCGCCGTGATCGGATAAAATGATCTACCTACATGTATAGTAAACTTGGATTCTCGAACATATAGAGAGGATTCTTTCCATCATGGCCTCAGTCTAATGTCCATCGCCTCTGGACCCTCCCATAATATATCATTCGACCATTCTATTGCTCGATTAAGGCAACCCTTGAAGCTCAACTCAACTATCCACATGCTCTCGGTAGCCCTGATCTACAACCTACTCAAAACCTCACCCCATTCACTTATCCTGCCTTATCACCTCGTTCAAATGCCGCTTAGCACCCACGTCCTGCATCCTAACCACCTGCGACGGCTCCACATCAAGCAAACTCCTCGACGGCGCTGGCAACAATGACGGAAGACCAGATGCTGGTATACGATCACGCACGGCCAAATTCTCACTAGACATGCTGGGATCTGACCGCTGAAACCCCTCGATGGGGCTATGCATGCGCAAAGAAGAGGGAGCATTTGCAAACGAAGAAAACGGCGGTAAAACAACGACAGTTGTGTTGCACACGCCCGGGAGCCCATTTCCTATCTCCAAATGAGACATGTCTTGATTTTCTGCCTGACTCATCTGCCCAAGTCGTGGCAGGCGGCTTCTGCACAGTTGGCAGTACCGAGGGGCAATATCAGTCAGAATGAATCGGTTACAGCAGGCGACGATCACGGGCTGTGGGTTGTTATTTGGCGAAGGGTAGTATTGGGCTTTGATGCATGGCTGGATTAGTTGAAGGAAGTCGCAGGTGCAGTGCGGTTGGTTGGGTTGGTAGTAACACATTCTTTTTATTGATTTGAGGTTTTTCGTTTGAAGAGGGCGTATAGGGAATGCATTCGCAGTGGAGTGAGATGGGGGAAGATAGGGTGTCGCTTCTGGGGGTGGGGGGGATGGTTTTATGTTAGCCTCTGGGAGTGCTGCTCTCTATGAGTCTGAGTTTGAGGGTCGATCTGGGCTCACTATTGTGAGACACGGGCGTACCTGTTGCATGATGGCGGTAGAGGAATATGCCTCGAGAGGCAGCAAAGGCTCAGCTTGAGTGTAAGCGTCCGCTGTGAGACATTTGGAGGTAGTCTCGTTATAAGATTACCCAAGACAGGAAGACAATTGGCAAGCTGTGGATGCATTCAAGCGCGATGATCTTGGCTAGGGATGTAGCTACCTTAAAAAAGCAGAAGCAGAAGAAGCAGGCTGGATAACCGAGAGATTTCTAAAATGAATATGCAAGTGTATTGTAAGTATAATCAATACTTAACTGCCAAGAAAAAGAGAAGACGCCTGAATGCGAGACTCAACGCAAATAACACGATGCTCATGCATAGCTCCAGATATAGATGATTCAGTAAACTCCCAGTAAGCCATAGTAATCAATACCGCCAACAGTGATCCCAAAGATAGAAAGTCATCAACTAGGGGGCCTATATTCCATCCAACAGATTGAAAGAGGCCGCAGCTAGCGATGTTGATACAGCAAATATGTATACCCAAACTCCAGCTATCGAAGTTATCATTTCCTTCTCCGAATAGCCCTTTGGGCCATCTAAATTCCTCGAACGAGGAATGTGAAGAATCAGACAAGTAAAAAGGTTGAAGAAAAACCACTCAAACATAAACGACATAAAAGGGGGAAGAGCAGATATCGTTCCAACCAATGATAGTCACGACTTCATTTCAAAGTCTTTTTGAATTCCTCGAAACTCTGGCGAAAAGCAAGGTACGCTGGTTCGATCTCGCCGTCGTCCCAAATCGTAGCAAGGAGTTGCATGGAGGTAGAACTGACAGCAAGGCTCTCCTCATAGCTTTGCCTGGCGGGCCACTTGAGTTGGCTGAGGTCTCCAGAAGGACAATTCTGATAAAGCCATTCCGCATCACGGGCGAATTCATCATCACCGAAGTTTTCGGGTCCGTCAGCCTTACCAGGCTGTGGAGTTAAGTCAGATTTCTTAGTTGTCTGCTTGGGGGCAACAGTATCGGGCGTGGCAGTCAATGGACTAGCATATCGGCTTGCAGTACGGAGACCACTAGGAGTCTTCGGCTTGTATTTCTCTGCTTGGGACCGCACTCTCGCAAGGGCTTCCTCGTCCACTTTACCCGGGGTTGATGGCTGAGCCCGAGAGGTATGGCGAGATGCAGGAGATTGAGCATCATGGCCTTCAGGTTGTGTAGAAGCACGCCCATCTTCATCCCGTGCGGCTTGGGAGGGGCTAGGGGCGATAACATTTGTTGATGAGGACAGGCCAGTAGTCTCAGAGTCATCTGAGACTGTGTCATAGTCGAGCTGGAAAGTACCTTGGGTATTGGGGACGAATCCCGGATGCTGAGAAGGCTGCTCAGTGCGAGCAGGTGGTGTTGGTGAATCACTACCCATTCCAACGAAGTGTGTTCCATGATAGGGATCAGTAGCGCGAGCACGCGAGCGAAGCTTAGAAGGAGTGTCTTCTGGGCTTGCATCAAAACGCACCTTTTTGGATGACTGTCGCTCGGCACGGAGGGCACTGCGGACCACAGACTTTGCTAAACCATCGGCTTTCTTGCGTTCGTTCTGTTTAGATGGAGTTTCTGCCGCCTCATCTTCACTTTCAGAGCTATAACAGAAATAATCCAAGTCCAATCCATAGCTAGATCCGGCTGGGTTGGGAATCACATCAGGCGATGGAGACCGCTTGCGCTTCCTTTGTTCCGCATCACTAATCTCTTGAGACGTCTCACGTGGCTCAGCTAGTTCATCTGATGCTGTAGTCTGCTGAGACTCAGGTTTCTGCGCCTGCGCCTCTTCAGTGCGGTGCGAATCCGGGGCAGGCGCTGTGGAAGGCTTAGGAATGTCACCAAGGTAAAGAGATCTGTCGATAGGAGCTGGGAAAAGTGAGTAGGACAAGTTACGGGCACGTTTCTTTGGAGGCTGCGAGGGCCTTTCACTCAAACGCCACCGAGATCGTCCTTCAGTCTGAGGACCAGCTGATTCAGGGTCAAGAGACCTTGTGCGAGCAATACGTTCTGATGATGGTTCGATCGTCGCTACAATGGGTTAGCGAGTAACGGGGGAGGGGATCACGAGAACTTACACTGATCTTCCAAGCTTTCAGAAGGCCGACCAAACGGTAGTAACCGTGAGAAGGAACGGGGCACAGAGCTGAGCAGTCCACGTAGATTCCATCCACGCTGAGGAGTTTCTGGCGTGTTTCCTCCTGGTGTCGATGGTTCTTGAGGTGCAGAAGATTCGTCTGTTGAGCTTTGATTGGTTGGCAAGTTCGGTTCCATCGTGAAGTCAAATGTCGTTTGTGGAAGCTGTGGACTCGGACTTGAAGGGGCTCTTTCTGCCTTCTGGCGGTCGGCCTCTAGCTGACGGAGATAGTCGGGAAGACGGAAGAGTGTCGATTCAATCCGGCCGTGTTTTTCGGCTTCTCGACGAGCAAGTCTTGCGGAGAAAGGGGCCGCCCTGGTCTGAATCCGGCGCGAAAGGGGGGTGCGCCGATTGGCAAAGGGGGTACTTCCTGGCGGCCCCAAATTCCGGCGCTTGTTTGCCGCAGGTGTCACGGGGGCTGCCCGATCTTCTTCGCTGGTGTCTTCGTGGGCCCTTTTCCTATTAACTGTGTCGGTCAGCCTGGGTTCCTCATTGGGCCGGTCAACGCTTTCCTGGTACGACCACGGAGGTGAGGGGGATACCAAGAGGGCCACCGATTTCTCGGTGGCATCCTCTTGGACCCCACCACTTGAACAACACGGTCCGGCAATCAACCGCAAATCCCCAGTTGGTTCGAGCTCAAAATCAGGGAGAGTATTGCCGGGAGCCATGTAGGCAAGAGACCCAGGATCATTTCGGGCTCCTCGGCCAACGCTACCGATACCAACGGACCTCCCACGCTGTAAAGTTCGTCGTAGATAGAAGACGGCGTAATTGGGATAGAATCAAACAGCGTGCGAGGTCTCTGCTGTACCCGCTCCGGAGGCCTAAATATATCCATTGGCGGACATACTGGCGCAATCTTGGAAAAGATCGAGGCCAACGTAGGGGCATCAACAGAGGCACCCGGAACAACAGTTGCCTGGGAGTCGGTGGCGGTCTGGAAGGAATTACCGGAGCTGGGGATATCTCCGGTGGGCAACTGTGTTTCGAGTAGCCACATTGGCAAAACCGGTGACACCGTTGGAAGAACGGCCGCAGAAGAGCAAGGGATAAATTCGACAATAGCCAACCTTCTGAGCTGTTCCACTAATGGCTCCACCTGCTCCTACTCTGCGACCATTCTTTGTTCGGAGTCCGCAGCAAAAGTGGTGGTGGAGTCAGTCTCCGACGCCTCACTCATGTCATCTGTAGTAAACTCTGCAAGGGATAATGCATCTGACTCTCTCCACTCTGCTGTGGTTGGCACCACCAAAGATGGCTCAGAGTTGCTGGTATTGTCGATTTGATATTGGTACCACTTGGGATCGATAGTGTTTGGCGGTGCACTGAAGGAAGCGCTGACCGAGCGGGGTATATTTGGGGGTGTATGGGTCACGGGGGCATTTTGGGTCCATAGGATACTTACGCGGAAGTGAAGAGCTTTTCAGCTCTGAAAGAGCTGTACTATCTGCCAGTGTAACGGAATCTGGGCCCTGGGACTCATTTGTGAGGTTTTCTTTGTCGTCCAGGGGCGCGGTCTGGGCGCGTTCTCCATTGTTAAGGGATTCATGTTGGCTACCGTCTGTCGTTTGATTCTCCGTCTTGCGAGTTGACTTTCTTGTCGCTCGCTGAGGGACCTTTCGCGTCTGTGATTTTGCGACTCTGCTGGTGGTAGTCTTTTTGGTTGTGCCTTGGCTTTTGGGTTGAGTTGTGGTTTGCGTGGAGGACGAAGATTGCGCGTTGGGTTGCGAGGTGTTCCTTGTGGACCTCGTCCGACGTGGAGCACTGTCATCGAGGGATAGAAAGCCGCCAGGCGATGCTTGCTGCGATCGAGTTCGCATTTTGACGGATTGCCGACTGAGGGCGACTTGTGGCTTAGTCGAAGCTCAGAGCGACAGAAGAAAAGCTTCACTAAGTAATCTAGCTAATAAGAGTAGCTCCCTCTTCACAACCAATAGAGGTTCGTAGATGAAGAGATAATATGCTCAAAAAGCTTGATACAGTATGGCCTTCAGCGTGTGTGCTAGAGAATTAGCTGGATGGACGGTTAGTAAGAAGGGAAATGTGGGAAAGAGAGAGGTGTGGAGAGAAGGGGGCTTCTATTTACACTCCTCTGTTGTGTTTCTATGACGCGCCCCTCCAAGCCAGAATATTGACATTCACTTACCTGGTTCAACAAGTCCGAGGCATAAATGACGCGGTGTTACTGGGATACCAGAGAACTTTCGCAAATGAATTTCAAAACTCGGGACCACGTCCTGGCAAAATCATGAGGCGGTCAGCTGTCCACCCAATGAAATTGGTTCCTAATATTTATTCTGAATGACTTCAGCCTTTTTCTTTCTTTGTCATTTTGACACCTTGGAAAATGTCGGCTAATTTCTAATTTTATTTAGGTCAGAATATTTTATCATATAGTGATTCTAGTAGAGCACAAAGCGTGCTGGCATAGATTGCTGAAGCGAGATGCAAGATGTTTCTCCGTAGATTAGTCTTATGCAAGCACAAGTGGGATGGAAGATTGTTTGCGCATGATAATACGTATGATTTAATCGCTTTAAATAGTTTCCTGAAGATAAACTGTAATACTTGTACACGGTAAGTCTGTAAATAAGAGACATCAAAAAAGACCAGGCAAACAAGCGAGATCTTGCAGCACACACGGAAGGTATGGATGCCATATAGTTACACGCCAATATTGACTGAATGATATAATGAAAAAAACAAATGAAAACATAACAATACAAACGCTAGTGAGCCATTACATGCTAATCTCACCCTTCCAAGCAGCATCCGACAGGCCCAAGGTTTCGATCAAGTGTTGCCACCTTGGACCACCCCGCTCC